ACAGGGCCGGCGCAGGGCCGCGACAGGTCGGGGCAGGGCTGCTACAGGGCCGGAGGAGGGCCGGGACAGGGCCGGAACAGGGCCGCGACAGGGCCGGAGGAGGGCCGGGGCTGGGTCGCAGCAGGGCCGCGACAGGGCCGCGACAGGGTCGGGGCAGGGCCGCGACAGGTCCGGGACAGGGGCGGCGCCGGGCGACGGGGCAGGGCCGAGACAAGGGGCCCGCGACGGGGGGCCGCGACAGGGGGCCGCAACGGGGGGCCGCGACAGGGGCCGTGGAGGGCTGGGCCGGGACGACGGGGCACCAGGCGACGGGGCAACGGGGCGCCGGGCCGGGCCGCGACGCGGCGGCTTTGGGCGCCGGCGCTGGCTCTAAGGGCAGGCGCAGGGGCCGCTACGGGCCGTGAGGGGGGGGGGGGGGCACTACGGGCCGCAAAGGGGCCTCTACGGGCCGTGAAGGGGCCGCTACGGGCCGCAAGGGGCCTCTACGGGCCATGAAAGGGGGGCCACTACGGGTCGCGAAGGGGCCTCGAAGGGCAGGCGCGACGCGCTCGTCGGGCAGGTAGGAATAAATTTTTAATTTTAGTGGTGGGCCCTTAGGAAAAATCGAACTAGCTCTAAACCATGTGAAAAATAGAGGAATGAATGACTAGGGAATGAGTTGGATACAAATAGGAAACCCTAACAAATTGTACCCCATAGTGTCTACCCCACTACAGCCTAAACAGGCTATGTGATTAATGTTTGACACCCTCCTCTCTCTCTCACTACCGCTCGTGCTGCTGTGGGGGGGAGGGTAAGAGAGGGTGGTGGGAAAACAGTCAAGCATCTGCAGCTGCCACCCGCTGCTACCGTGGCACCTCCTGCTGCCGCCCCTGCCGCCACCTGCCCTTGTTTCTGCTGTCTGCTGCTGGGGCCTGCAGGTGCTGCCGTCGAGCCGCTGCTGTCCTGCTGCATGTTGCAGCCACAGCGCCTGCTCCTCAGGCGACCTTCCGCCCCTACACCTGCTACTGCTTCTGCCTTGGCTGAGGGCGTGCTACAGCTGTATTTGCCACTCCTGCACCAGCTACTACCGCTCTTGCTTGCTTCTGTTTCTTCCGCTGCACTCCTGGTGCACCCCGTCAGGGGGCGTTTTACACTTACTCCTGCAATCAATTATGGGGGCGTGTCAAAATATGTTTACATATTTTATATAATCGTTTGCAGTTGTAGTGTAGATATTGCATCATGTTTGGTGGTGCACCTCCTTGTGTTGCTGTTTACCTATTTGTACTTTCTATTCTCATTAGTGAACCCCCTTTTTTTGGCTTGCACTTTTCTGTCAGAATATAATGTTTCTCTAGTCTGCAGTGGGGTACTCCATAGTGAGTACAACCCTGTTAGGGTTTCCTATATGTACTCAATTGCTTTCTAGTGCATTCATTCCTTCTTATTATTCTCACATGGTATAGAGCAATTTCGATCCTTCCTAAGGGCCCACCACGTTTTAAACTTTTTTTCCCTTACCTGCCCGAGGCGCGCGTCGCGCCTGCCCTTCGAGGCCTTTCGTGGCCCGTTGCGGCCCCTTCGCGTCCCGTAAGGCCCTTCGCGGCCCCTCGTAAGGCCCCTTCGCGGCCCCTCGTAAGGCCCTTCGCGGCCCCTCCTAACGGCCCCTTCGCGGCCCCTCGTAAGGCCCCTTCGCGGCCCCTCGTAAGGCCCCTTCGCGGCCCCTCGTAAGGCCCCTTCGCGGCCCCTCGTACGGCCATTCGCGGCCCCTCGTACGGCCCTTCGCGGCCCCTCGTAAGGCCCTTCGCGGCCCCCCGTCAGGCCCTGTCGCGGCCCCTCGTCGCGGCCCCCCGTCGCGGCCCACCGTCGCGGCCCCCCGTCGCGGCCCACCGTCGCGGCCCCCCGTCGCGGCCCCCCCCGTCGCGGCCCCCCCCCCCGTTGCAGGCCCCCCCCGTAGCGGCCCCCCCGTCGCGGCCCCCCCGTCGCGACCCCCCGTCGCGGCCCCCTGTCGCAGGCCCCCGTCGCGGCCCCCCGTATCGGCCCCGTCGCCCAGCGTCGCCCCTGTCCCGCCCCTGTCGCGGCCCTGCCCCGACCCTGTCGCGGCCCTATCGCGGCCCTGCCCCTGCCATGCCCCGACCCTGCCCAGGCCCCGCCCTCCTCATGCCTGTCGTGGCGCACCAGGGGCCCGTGCACCGCCCCCCCCCCCCCCCCTTTTCCCGTCGCCTTGCGTGGCGAGCGGGGGGGGGGGGGGGGCGCGCGCGCCCCTCCTTCCGCCTGTTCTGGCGCCCTGGGAGGCCGCGCGTCGGCCCCCCGTACTCCTCCCGCCCCCCCCCCCCCCCCCCCCCCCTCAGGTCGCCTCAACAGGCGACAGGAGGGGCGACCTGGGGGGGGGCGCGCGTCGGAGCAGCCGCCCCTGGTGCAGCCGCCCCTGGAGCAGCCGCCCCTGGACCCAGAGCAGCCGCCCCTGGCCCCTGGAGCAGCCACCCCTGGCCCCTGGAGCAGCCGCCCCTGGCCCCTGGAGCAGCCGCCCCTGGTGCAGCCGCCCCTGGACCTCAGCAGCCGCCCCTGGCCCCTGGAGCAGCCGCCCCTGGACCCCGCGACGCCGCCCCTGGACCCGGTGCCGCCGCCTCCCTGTGCTGCCCGTTGCTGCTCTCCCCCCCCCCTTCTTCGTCTCCCTGCTGCGCGTGCAGCCGTGGAACGGAGGGTGTGGGGGTGGTGGGTATGGGGGTGATGGGTGGTATGTTTCCCTTCCCCTCCTCCTCCTTTGTCTCCCACTGCTGCAGCTGCCGCTGAGGGGGGTGGATGAGTGTGAGCCAAAGGCGTGGTGCTAGGGGGTGTGGTGTGAGTGAACCTAGGGGTGCAGCAGGGGGTGTGTGAATGGGGGGTGCGGCAGTAGAGGGAGGTTGGGTGGAGGTAGCCGTCGTGTTGCTAGCAGTGCCAGTAGTCCGGAGGTGCGCTTCCGGTAGCCCAGTGATGCCGCTGCGCCAGTCGCCCGTGGGTCCGTTGCTCCTGCCGCTCGTCTTAGCCGCGGAGCCAGTTACTCCTGTAGTCCGGAGGTGCGCCTCTGGTAGCCACAGTGCGCGCCGCTCCTGTTGCCCGTGTGTCTGCAGCTTCCGCCGTTGCCTCCTCTCTCCTCTCCTATTAGTCCAGCCTCCTCCTCCTCACTTGCCCTCTGTGATAGCCTCTAGCTTTGCTTATTTATTGTGAACTTTAAACTGTTACTTCTTGTACTTGTGCTCAGAATGTGTGGTGACATTGTGATCCACCCTGAGCTTGCTTTGCTTTGCTTCTTGTGCTGATCATACCCCACTTTGACTATGGGGGTGTGTCAGAATATCATGTTTCTATAGTCTGCAGTGGGGTACTCCGTAGTGAGTACAACCCTGTTAGGGTTTCCTATATGTACTCAATTGCTTTCTAGTGCATTCATTCCTTCCTATTATTCTCACATTTTCCTCTCGTCACTCTCACCTAGGTCAAACCCTAGGCCCCTAAACTATTATGTTTGACACTTTCACTATTCGTAACAAATCCAAGAAGTGATGGTATCTTCTATGAATGCATGAAGAACACTGAGAGGGGCTTTAATTTTAAACCAGCTTCCAAACGTTACCAAATCTTTCATTGATTTGAGCAATGCTAGAAACGAGTAGACTGTAGATGTTGAAACAGCTTGTGCAAGTGCGCGAAACCTAGTTCAAACTCTTACACGTGCCTGAAGTGATTGTCAGGAGTTTGCTGACACATAGCATTCTCCAGCTGGCGTTTTCAGTCATCCTCTATCCGCCAGCCTCTTCGATTCAGAGGCTGAAGGAACAGCAACTGGCGTTACAGCGCAAGTCTAGGGATGATGGCTCCACGGAGCTTGGAGGCGAGGGGGAGGGCGAGAGTCGAAGCAAGCTGGTATGCCTTGGTGTAGGATGGCATAGGATGGCTTGGTAGCATGGCATGTGGTAGCACATCCAGATTCGAGAACCTCCTGTAATTGCGCGGGGCGAGGTTTGAAAAGCAGGAATGGGGGGAAGCAGTTTCAAATTCGAACCCCTTTGTTCGCGGGTCAATCAGTGGCTGGAGCAGTCGCATGGACCAATGTGCGAAGGGTTTTGGCTGATGGGTGGCACGGCGGCGGCGGCTCGAGAACTGATGAACAATTTCTAGCCGCATGCGATGAAAGATGGACAGTCCATGCGACGACTGACCCTCCAGTGGAACGAATCAACCGTTACCTTCAGATGCGTGCCAGACATCAACGGAGGACACCGAGATAATGTTGGAAGCGAGATAGTCGCACAGAAGGGCATCGTCACATGAAGGAAGGTGCAGATCCTCGCAACCAATCGGCAGCGAATGAAGGGACCAAACCATCTCCAGATGTAAAGGAGAGGCGCTCCACTGTCAAACTCTAGGGATCTTGCGCTTCACTTCACATCCATGCCATATCCTCCCATTCCAGCCCAACTTCCTGTCCTCCACAAATGTTTCATCCTTTCCCCATCCCCACCGCCCGTCAATCCTAGATAACTCTCCCAACACCTCCTTTCCACCTTTCGTCTTTGTTTGGCTGAATCACGAACAGCATTTCCCTTCCCATACAACCATCCTACAATTCCCCAGTCCAGTCTTCAGGACAGGTAGCTAACTGTCCGTCAGTGCCCAAGAGGCGAGCATCCTGGTCGTGGTCTGGATCGGATGCAACTAACTTATAGCTGCTTGTAAGTTGTTTTCTCCGTGATTCGCAGGCTAGAGATGATAATGGCTTCGGTACGCGTTTTCCTCCCTAGGTGATATCTCGACCATGCAACAATTTCACAATCTCTCAACCACAGCCTTCTAACACAGAAATCACCCAAAGACCAAACTGTATTCCGTAGTTCGTTCCGTTCATCAACTCATAATCCATGGCCACGCGATGGATGCCGGTACACTCGCGAAACGACAGAGCCGCGTCCAAGCCGGCAGCATGCGGAGGCGGACAATCCACGAGCACCCGAGGAGGGACCGCCACTCGCGGATCAACCATGGCTGAACCGTCGAAAACTGCAGCGGGTGAACCCGCGAAGGCATCAGCAGGTGTACCCGCGGGAACACCCGCTGGTGTTCCGGCAGGGCGCGGAGCCGGACGGGGTGTCGGGAGAGGAACTGCAGCGGCGGATACGCTCGCCGGACGGGGTCGAGGCAGCGCGGGTATCGGACGAGGCGACGCCAAGACGGTCGGCCGAGGGGGCCCGGTTTCGGGATCCGCCCGGGGAAACCTCGCGAGCAGCCAGGCGGAACCCGCGCGGCAGATCGGCGCTCCGCACGTGTTTCCGCGCATGGGCCGTGGGGACATCCGGCGCACGTACACGCTCGGGCGGGAGCTGGGGAAAGGCGGAGGCGGCGTGGTGCGCGAATGTCTGGACCCATTGACGGGCGAGCCCGTGGCGGCCTGCAAAACCATTCCCAAGTCGAAGCTCGAGGTACCGACTGTTTTTTTTTTTTTTTTTTTTTTTTTTTTTTTCAGATTAAATTATTCTTAACCCCGGTACTGTGTCTTTCATATGTTTTGCGGCAGTGATGTGCGATCGAAAGGCGTATTTCCCCGCCGTCCCTCGTTCAGACCTGTCACCGCAATCCGTAGACCGTCTCACCCACCCGCCATCCGACACGCCAATCACCCTCAGCTGCTCATCCCACCCGCGTTCCCCCTCATCCCCTCCCCCCAGTTCCTTTCCCCGTTCCTAACCTCTCCCAGCCCCCCCAATTCCTCCGCCTTTCCTCAATTCCCCCAATTCTTTCCCCCAACTCCCCCAATATCGCCGTCTCCCGATTCCGCGCTTCCCCGCAGCGACCGGACCTGGTGGAGGAGCTGCGCGCGGAGGTGACGGCGATGCGGCGGCTGGCGGGGCACGCGCACGTGGTGCGCCTGCTGGCGGTGTACGAGGACGACCACGCGGTGCACGTAGTCATGGAGCTCTGCACGGGGGGCGATCTGTACGATCTACTTACGGCTGCCACGACGCTGCCCGAGCCGATCGCCGCGCAGCTGACAAGGTACGATGACTCATATGCATCCCAGTCCATCCACCATAAGATATAAGTAACATTTTGAGACGTCTCAAAATGTTACTTTTATCACGTCAACTGACAAGGTACGATGACTCATGTGCATCCCAGTCCATCCGCCGTAACAATGCGATCTGTGATGACGCGTTTCCTGCCATGCCGTTGACTCGTATGCCGAAATTGTTCTTTGATTCTGTCTCAAACTCCCCGTCGTTCGCTCCCCTTCCCCTGCAGTCAAATCCTGAAGGCGCTAAGTCATTGCCATCGCAACGGCATCCTGCATCGCGATATCAAGCCGGAGAATATATTATTAGCGAACCCGGTAACGGTACAAGACGGGCATGTCGCAATCATTGACGCAGCTGTACCCGCTACAGGAGCAGCGGCGAAAATGGAAGGCGGCGAAACGGTTTCTACAGTTCCAGCTTCTGATTCTTACGCGGAAGATGAAATTATGCAAGATGTGACTGTAAACGACGGGCCCGTCAGCAGCACTGTAGCGTGTGCAGGTGGCGGGTTCGGTGACTTGCCCAGCCCCTCTACAAGCACATTCAGTACGAGTGTAATGAGCAGTACACCCAGTAGCATGTTAATGTCATCGGGTTGCGCCAGCACCGCCAGCAGCAGCTTTGGGGCAAGGGGGGGCATGCTTTCGGAAGGGGGGCGCGGAGTCGGGGAGGGGGACGGGGAAGAGGACGGGGAGAGGGCGGAAGGCGCGGGGAACGCCCTGCATGTTAAACTTGCGGATTTCGGGTTGTCTGTTGTGCTTAAATCGGGGCAGCTTGCAGTGGGTATGCTTGGAAGCAACGTGTATATGGCACCAGAGGTCGTGTGCAGGAAACCGTACGGTTTGGCGATTGATTTGTGGGGCCTCGGAGTTATCCTCTTTACAGCGCTCTCCGGTTACATGCCGTTTTGGGGCAGTACGGATGAAGAGCTTTTTGTCCGTATCCTGCGCGGCCGCCCGGATTACTCCAGCGATCCGTGGCCGTCGATCAGCGCGGAGGCGAAGGATCTGGTCCATCGGTTGCTCACCATTGATCCGCCGCGCCGGATCACTGCTGACGTGGCGCTGCAGCATCCGTGGATCTTGAAGCATTGCGGTGCATCTGCACCGTCGATTCCAGCATCTCTGGGCGAGCCTGCTGGCGTCAATCCCAAGGCACCTGCTCACACGTCTCTTGCTACTGGGGTTCACTCGACCTCCTTAAATGCCCCATCTTCTGGGGATTCTACTTTCTCTGCTGCTCCGTCTCCTGCTCATTCAGCTGCTGCTGGTATTTCCGTGTCAGTGGCTGCTGCGCCTACTGCTGCCGCCGCTCCAGCTGCTGCTCCTGCTGGTGGTGCTGAAGCTGCTGCTGGTGGTGTTTCTGCAGCAGCTGCTCCTGCCTCTCGCAGAGCACCCTCCCCCATTCGCCGCCAGCCCTCGCCCATCCGCCGGCCGCCTTCACCTGCCAAGCGACCAGCCTCCCCAGCCAGGCGTGGTACCGCTACTGCTGCACCTGCTGCTGCTCCTGCCAGAGCTGCTTCTATGAACGCATCTGCAGTCTCACCGCGCTACCCCTCCAAGACACGCCCTGCAACCACCCAGGTAGCCGCTGCTAGAGCTTCAGCTGCTGCTGCTGCCCGCGCTGCTGCTGCTGCTGCTGCTAGGGGTGCCTCTGCTTCTGCTTTTGGTGTGTCTGCTGCCACTGCTGCTGCTGCTCCAGCACCCGCCGCTGCTGCTGATGCTGCTGCTGCTGTGCGTCCAATGAAAGCGCCTGCTGCGCCCACCACACCGTTGCTGCCCAGCCGCACGCGGGCAAACGTACCGGCTACCAATAACAGGGCTGCTGTTGGCTCCTTTGGGAAACGTTCCAATGTCGAGGATACTCATATGCATGCAGGCACGAATGCACACAAGCAGCAGCAGCAGCAGCAGCAGAGGCAGAATCATGAGTTAAAGTCCTCCCCCGCACATTCTCCTACTATCTCCTCCGCTTCCTCCGCTGCCTCCTGCCCCACTCCCTTCACTCTCCCACACTCCGCCGCCCTTCCCACTCCCCATGCCCCTCATACCGCCACTCCTCTGCCTGCCACGGCTGCTGGTGTTTCTATGAGTGCTGTCTCGCTTCCATCACCCATGGCTGCTATGCCCCATCCAGAGGGTGTTAGTAATGTTGCCATCCCAGCAGCATTCATTGCTATGCCTCACCCACCAGTCACAGCTTTCACTGCTGCTTCCTTCCCAGCAGCCATCACCGTCCGCCCTTCATTTGCCAAGCCCATGCCTCCTCCTTCGCAGCTCGCTTCGGCCGCAGCCCACGCATCTGCTTCGGCAACAGCTTCGGCGACTGGTTCGGAACCAGACCTGACAGGTGCATCGGTGCCAGTAGCTTCCGCGCTTGTGGTAGGCGGTGCGAGTGGGGGAGTTACAGATACTGTTGCATCTGTGCGTGCAGAGCAATCTGCTGCAGAAGCAGCAGCTGTGCCAGCAGCAGGAGCACCAACAGCAGCTGCAGTTACAGCAGCAACAACAGAATCCTTAGTGCCGCTTCAGCCTATTACTCCCATGTCTGTTGATCATCCGTTTTCTGTCTCCTTGCCAGCAGCTGCACCAACGTCACATACGCTGGCCCCACCTGCTCCTACTCCACATGAGCCTACCCCACATGCGGCTACCCCACATGATCCCATTTCCACCAAATCTGCTGCCTTACCTGAACCTGCTATTGAGCCTCTGAGGCGCGCCCCTAGACCACACAAGGGCCGCACGGGGGTGTTCCGAGTGTCATCTGGTAGGAGGAGAGACGCTCATGCAACAGCCGCTCCGGCCCCCTCTGCTTCTGTTCCTAGTGCCGCCGCCGCTGGTGCTGCCGCTGGTGTTGCTGCTGGTGCTACTGGTGGTGGTGGTGGGTCCTTTGGTTCTGCCAGTGGAGCCATGGCCAGTGCTACCAGCAAGCTCGCCTCTCTCTTCTCATTGGGTGCTGCCCCGGCAGCCAAGGCTCGGAAGAACGCCGCCGGAGCTGGCGTTTCAGGCTCGGGAGCGCCAGGTTCGGGGACGTCTGCATTGTTCCGAGCCAGGCCGTCGGGCCTGAGCAGCCCATTCACGTTCTTTTCCCCCAAGAGGAAGATCCGAAAGTCACAAGTGGTTGTGAACAGTGCTGCGGCTCCAGGGGCAACAGTGGCAGGCGGCGCTAATGGGGGAACAGATATGATTGTGGATGGGACTGGTGAGCATGGGGAGGAGGAGGACGACGAAGATGAGGAGGAAGAGGAGGAGGTGGAGGAGGGAGAGGCTGAGGGAGAGCAGGAGGAGCAGGAGGGTGAGGTGGGAGGCAGAGCAGGTTTGGCTGGGTTCAACAGCGCCGTGCTGAGTGCAGCAGCTGCTGCTGTGCTGCACACCCACTTGAACGGCCATGATGAAAAGCAGCAGCAGGGGAATCACCAATCGCACCCTCACCAGCCTTGGCAGAGGAATGGGATGATTGGCAGCCTCGGCAGCACCGGAGCTGCAAGCAGCGTTGGCACCATTGCAGAGTTTCGGGCCCGACTGTCCCCGGCCGTCACTCTTGACCGAACGGCCGCTCCCGAGCCTGTGGCGGTGTATTCGAGCACTGGAAACGTGCTGCCAGCTGTCAGCGCAGCATTGGCTACAGGTCAAGCAAGGGAGAAAGTGAAAGCAGAGGGTGGGATGGAGGAGAGAGGAGGGATGGAAGTTGATGGAGGGACATGTGAAGGAGGCATGTCGGATGTTGTGACGGCTTTCTCAATTCTCAGGACTAACTCGATACATGGTGCTGCTGCTGCACTACCAGCAGAAGCACCACAAGCAGTTAGAGAGGCCACTGGTGTAGCCACAGCTAGTGGCAAACCGGAGGCACTTGCAGGTTCGCATCTCGCGGGGACTGCAAGAGATACCAGGAGTTTGCTTGGGAGGCATAGTGCATCAGGGCGGCTCAAGCATCTCTTATCAGGCCACTAAAACACCTGAAGTTACATAGATCAATATTGATTGAGCATGAATATTTATTGTTTCTTTGTTAAACAAATAAGCTTGAGCCTCTGCTTTGACATTCCCTATGGTATATGTAATCAAATAAAGAAGTTGGTTGATGCTAGATTTCTGAAGGCATATGGTGATTTTGCATGAGGATTGTTTACTAAGATGGTGAAGTCATCAACCAACGTCTAGATTGGTTACATGTTGTTATTCGATAACCATGCTACCATGTTGTTATTCAATGAGAAACATTGAGTCGAGGGCCACGTCCCACGGCTTGGGGTCCCTGCCACGTCCAATCCAGGTTGCAACAGCACTTCGTCACCCTGCCACGTCAGCAATCCAACCTGCTCCAACCAGCCTTCGATCCTCTCCAATCCAACTCAATCTCCGTCCCCCGCCAATGCGCGTTCCCCGACTCTCCGCTTCCCCAACTCCCCCATTCCAGGCCAAAAGCTTTTCAGTCCCCACGTACACGTTCTCCCCATTCGCTACTCCAGCGCTCTTCCAACCGCACCCCCTGCTCCCCCCGAATACCCGTTCCCTCCGCTCCCCTCGCTTCCCCCGTTGCTCCCCCTTACCCTTCCCCCGCCACCCCTCAACTCGACTCATCCGCCCCTTCTCCTTCCGCCATTTCTATCGCACTTCCTTTCTTTCACCCTCTCCCTCTCCACCTCCTCCAGGGTGTTTCTCTGCTCATTCTCAGAAATCTTTCAAGTTGGTGGTAAATTACTGTCCTTGGAAACGAGGCAGTAGCGGTCGTTCAGACCAGCGATTGAGAGAGAGAGCGGATCGCAGCTCGGATTTTTTCCCCCCTGAAACCATGGCTGCCATCGAAGCCACCCCGATGCTCCAGTCTCTCCGCCTCGACGCCGCGCTCGCGGCGTCGTCGCGCACGACCGTCCCCGCCTCCTCCTTCGTCCGCCCGCAGATTAGCCTCCGGTCGAGCCGCGCCCTTAGCGGACGGCGAGTGGTGGCGGCGGAGCGGTCCGCGGTAGCTGCGGGCGTTCAGGCAGTGGCGGAGCTGTTCCCGTCCGTGGAGGGCGCGGAGGACGCCGGGGAAGCGGAGGAGGCTGACGTGGCACCAGTGAAGGCGAAGACGGGGAAGAAGGCGCTTGTGTTCAAGAGGGACCAGGTGCGAGGCGGAATAGATTTCAGCGTTAGGGTTTCGTGTAGCTGTCCGATAATATCTAGGGTTAGCCAGAATGCGAGGCTCCTTTAGTGAGCGACAAGACGGGCAAGAGTTTGTTTGGGTTTTCGGAAGGAATTTAGTTCTCGCAGAGGGACGAATGGCACAGCGTTCGAGAGGGATCAGCAAGCAAGACGGATATATTTTACTGTTCGGGTTTCGCGCGGCTTACCAATGATGCTGCAACCTGGGTGTGCAGGGGCTGTCGGAATGTGCTGCATTGCGCTGCGCATGCCAGCGTTTTCGGAGGGCCAGGTGCCCGGCAGAGCATTTTAGGGTTTCTTTATCAACCAACGACGTTCACTTTTGGCATGAATGTAGTTTACATTACTCTACCATTTAATTTTCCGGCGCAGCATAGGGAAGGACCGCCGCACAGGAGGAACAGGAGCTAGGGTTTCTCGAGTGAATGTAGGCTTTTCGCAGCTGGCCTTCCCCGAGTCTCTTCTTTCAGGCCCAATGTAGCGCCTCGAGTACGTCTTTTGAGACATCTAATAAATCGGCCGAATGTAGCGCCTCGAGTACGTCTCCAGGCGTCCGAAAGGTTGTTCTGAGCGGATAGCAGGTCATCTTGGTCCCGTCTGGGAGCTGGAATCTGAGAAGCTTCTTTTTTGAAGCTTGAATACGTTTTTTTCTCCAAGCGTGCGTGGAAGTTTCTGAAGCGAGGGAACGGATCGGATTGTTGGTTCGTTTTCGCGGTAAGCTCTGACAACTCGAATACTCTTGTTCGGTTCGGAGAGCCTGATTTGGTTTCAGGAGCGGAGAGCTCTGACATCTAATAAGCTCTGCCTCGTGAATGTTTCACACCCTCGTTCTCTCTCCCCGCGCGCTCGCATCCAGTCATAATCCAGACCTCATCCAAACCAGATCCAGACCTGATTCTCCCTCGTTCTGAATCCAAGCGGTTCTTGGGGATTCAGAAGCTGCGTTACCGCAAACGCGAGTGCGTGGCGGTGCGATCGAACCATTACGTTCGCGCTGCTCTCGGCTTTAGGATTTCCAACCGTTCTACCCTTCTTCCTCTCCCCACTTCAATCCAAAGCGGTTCCCGGAGATTCAGAAGCTGCGCGACCGCAACAGCGAGTACGAGCCGGTACCACTATGCGGCGGAATGGTAAAGGCTTCAGAGTGTGTTTTTCCTCGTACCCTTCCCTCTCTGCTTCACTCACATCCCTGCCGTCCTCCTACACCCGGTCGTAGCGGTTCTTGGAGAATTTAGAAGCTGCGCGACCACAACGGTTTTGAGAAGTCTCAAAAGTCTTGAGGCGTCTCAAAATTGTAGATTCAGAAGGTGCGCGACCGCAACGGCGAGTACGAGCCGGTGGAGGCGATCGAAACCGTCAAGGCGACCTCTGTCTGTGCGTCAATTTACCCGCTCATTTCCCCCCACCCGTCCCTCCCCATGTTTCCTTCCTCCCCTGTTCATCCCCTCTCCCTCTTCTCCCCACCCCAGACCCGGTCGAAGCGCTTCTTGGAGATCCAGAAGCTGCGCGACCGCAACAGCGAGTACGAGCCGGTGGAGGCGCTCGAAATCGTCAAGGCGACGGCTTCCGTCAAGTTTGACGAGTCCGTCGAGGCGCACTTCCGCCTGAACATCGACCCGAAGTACGCCGACCAGCAGCTGCGCGCCACGGTGCGTAACGAGGATGCTGTTAGCGGGGATGTTACGAGCGGGGATGTTGTTAGCGGGATGACTAATCGAAGGATTCACAACAGTGATTGAAATCACGCTGATCAGCAGCTGCTATTAACGGGGATATTATATCGGGGATAGTGTCTCCGGGATGCAGGCGGGATGGTTACAAGTCGAAGCAAACGGTCCAATTTTTTTTGCAAGCCATTCGAACTCAACCTCGCCCCCTGCGCGCCATGCTTGAAAAAAGAATGCTTTTAACGGGGGTGCTGTTAGCAGGGATGCTTACCACTTACTCCCCCCCTCCCCTCCTCCCCCTCTCCCTTCCCCTCTCTGACCAAGGGAATCGATCCGATGGTTCGGGTTGCTGTGTCATCCCATCTCCATTCCTCCCTTTCTCTCCCGTTCTTTCCGCTTCTTCGTTCACCCAGGTTTCTTTGCCCAAGGGAACCGGTCAGGTGGTTCGCGTTGCCGTCCTCACTCAAGGTACTTCTTTTTTCCCTTTGGTGTCACATCTGCAATTAATTTCATCGCACCATTTGTTTGCACGGTTGTTGTTGTTGTTGTTTTTAATTTTTTCTCTCCAAAAGTTCCCTCGTCCGTTCCGTTCGTTGCCCCAGTCACCACCACCGTTCGTTGCGCAGCGGAGAACTAGAGGGAGGCGACGGAGGCGGGTGCTGACGTGGCCTCTCAGTCCGCCCCTAACCCCTCTGCTGTCCCTGTCCTCTTTGCTGTCCCTGTCCTCTTTGCTGTCCCTGTCCTCTTTGCTGTCCCTGTCCTCTTTGCTGTCCCTGTCCTCTTTGCTGTCCCTGTCCTCTTTGCTGTCCCTATCCCGCTCTCCCCCTGCTCTGCCCCCTCCTCCCCCTCCCCGGTTTTCCCCTCTTCCCCCCACCATGCGCGCAGGAGAGAAGCAGAGGGAGGCGACGGACGCGGGGGCGGACGTGGTGGGCGCGGAGGATCTGATTGAGCGCATTGCGGGCGGCTTTCTCGAGTTTGACAAGCTCGTCGCCACCCCCGACATGATGCCCAAGGTGCGTTGCGTTGCTTGCCTGCTCCTAGCTGCTGCCGGGTTGTAGCTGGGCTGGGGCAAGCTTGGATCTCACGCATCAGCATGTTGGAGTAAGACCACGCCCGACAGGATGCCCAAGGTGCGTTGCGCTGCTTGCTGGTCGGTGCTCGTGGTTGGTGCCTGGTTCTAGCTGGGGTGGGGCAAGCTAGCACGCAGTAACATGTTAGAGTTTGACTAGCTCGTGGCCACTCCCGACATGATGCCCAAGGTCAGGTGCAATGCTGCTGACTGCTACCTGAACTGTCTCTCACACTTCGTCATCACCGCTCCCTCTCCCCCGTTCCCTCTCCCACACTCCCTCTCCCCCGCTCCCTCTCCCCCGCTCCCTCTCCCCCGCTCCCTCTCCCCCGCTCCCTCTCCCCCGCTCCCTCTCCCCCGCTCCCTCTCCCCCGCTCCCTCTCCCCCGCTCCCTCTCCCCCTCTCCATCTCCCCCGTTCCCGCTCCCCTTTGGCCCCCTCTCATGTGACTCGTCTGGGTCGTCTGCTGGGCCCACACACCGCATGCCTAACCCCCAGAACTCAAGTCCAAGTCATGCTTCAGACTTATTTCATACACTTACCCTCTCCGCCCAACCCATACTCCCTCTCTCCTTCTCTCTATCCTCGCTCCTCTCGCATCTGGGACGTCTGTTGGATCCACGTGGATTCATGCCCAACTTCAAGGGCTCAGCCCAAGGCATGTTTCGAGCCGATTTTATAACCTCGTCCCCTATTCTCCTCCCTCCTTGCTCCCCTCCCAGGTGGCGCGTCTGGGTCGTCTGCTGGGTCCACGTGGCCTCATGCCCAACCCCAAGGCCGGCACCGTCACCACCGACCTTGCTTCGGTACGCACCTGCGCTTGCTTTGGTGTTTGTTCTGTTTGTAGCTGGTTTCGTTTTTGGATCTTCAGATTCACTGCTGCTGCTACTGCTGCCACCGCCGCTGCCACCACTGCCGCTGCCACTGCTGCTGCTGCTGCAGCACGTTCAGTTTTGCATGCATGCTCAAGCCAGTCACTTCTTCCTTCCCTTTCCCCCTTGGCCGTCCTTTTGACTAGGGTGTTCTTTTCCATCTGTGAAGCCACTTTCTCACACTCCCCCCTCCCCCACCCTCTTCTTGCTCTTCCTCTCCACCTCCTTCTCGTCACCTCTTCCTTCCCCACCCTTGAAGCTTTCATGCAGTGGTAGATGTGGTGGGGCATTGCACACAAATTGGTGTACTGTGCCGCATTCACTCACTCACTCACAAGTGTTAATCTGTCTTGCTATGCACCCATTCCCACCACGGCCCCCACTCCTTCCCCCCACCGCCACTACCCCTCTCCCCCCCTGCAGGCGGTGGTGGACTTCAAGGCGGGCAAGGTGGAGTACCGGGCGGACAAGACTGGCATCGTGCACGTGCTCTTCGGCAAGGCCTCCTTCTCCAACGACGACCTCCTCACCAACCTCATTGCAGTCGCTGTAAGTGTATTAATAAAATATTGTGTAGTGTATTTATATTCATGTGATGTATGGTGTGGCAATGGTTGTCTGTTGGTGTCGTGACTGATATTTTGCTTGCGTGTTTGTGCGATGTGTTGTTGGATTACAGAACTCTGTGGATGCGAATCGCCCACCAGGCGCCAAGGGAGTGTACTGGAAGACCGCTTACATCTGCGCTACAATGGGCCCGTCTGTTCGTGTAAATGTGTCGGCCTTGAGGGACTTCAAGCTGCCCACTGCCTCATCGTAAGGAAATGCCTGAAATGTCTGCCTTGTCCACACTTACAAAATGCAGTGTCAATGAATGAGATTTTTACATGAGGTACTGATCCTGTGCCAAATTCTTTGTAGGTTTTATATTAGTGTTTCCATAAATGATCAATCTTGTTGGCAATAAGCTGGCGCGCTGCACCTACACCTCATTCGCTGGTCTCACTGGTTAGCCAATCACAAAACCCACACAGGCTGAGTCATTCCGATTTCAGAAGCCAATAGGGAAAGCTCAAAGCATCACTGTTTCGCTAGGTCTTTGCTGCCCTCGCTTCGTTTTGGCCTGGTTCGGTATGTCGCGCTTCGGTTGGGCAGTCCACATTTTTTTCCTCAGCTGGAGCAGGTGTGTACTGTGGTCTATCAGGATACGTACTGGCTGCCCGTAATGTTGTCGGTCATCGGTTTTCGTGGATTTGTGAGGTGAGTGTTCTTGGGCAGAAATGTGATTGGGGCAAAGCCAATGGAAACGCACAAAAGTGTGTGTCAGGCTCGGAATTTCGGGGGAAAAGGCCCGGTCTGCACAAACGAGTAGGTTAGGTTAGGGAAGAGCGCGACAAATGTGGGATGTGATTGATGGGGGGAGGTTGGGCTGTTGCTCGCTGCAGTTGTATGTGCTGCGTGCCACGAAACTGTTCGTATTTCGCGTGGAAGCACTGTCACCGTGATATACCGCACACAACCTACCTCGGGATTGCCGTTGGAGGTGATCACATATGCTTCCATTGAAACAGCTGCTGATGTTATTTTGCAGACGATGCACGGTGTTTCTGGGACCGAGGAATTAGACGAGTAGGAGACGCGAAGTAGCCGTGCCGCGTTAGCTTCTGTTGTTATGAGCTTGCGGATCTAAGTCGTTCAAGTTTCGGGTGCTACTGTTAGTATCTCCGTGAGTTTGACCTCTTCGTTCAACATTAATCCACGAACAGAGACCTTCTGTTAGTATCGGATTGGATTGGTATGATAGGTTAGTCCACGCAATTCCTCCGCAGTTCCTCCACTTAGATCGTCCCTCAGTCGTTGCCGGCTTGAAACCCTCGCTTCGTCTCCCCGACAGCGGCTCGTCCATGGCACCTACCTCCAAGCCTCGTCTCTATTGTCCTTGAGTTTTGATTTCGAGCAGCCGGCGCTCGAGCCCATTCACCATGGTAAGCTGCTGTGTGTTCTGTCTTCTTTCACGTTATTGTGCCGTCAAGGTTGCGCTGTCAAGTTATTGGCTCGTCAAGTCCTTGTGCTGTCAGTTTCTGCTGTCAAATCGTGCTCGAAAGAACGAATTTGCTGATAAGAACAACCTCTTGCTCTTTCGGTGCACAGACGAACTCGAATATGAACACGCAGTCGCCAAACCATGGTCGCAATTTACTGCGTGCCTGGATTTCGCATGGCTCTGTCCCATGCACTAAGCTCTTGCCAACGTGTCGTGGGTTGTTTGGGATCCTATATTGCACGTTGACTCCTCCTCTTGCGCGACGTCGCACACCATCGCGTAGCGTCGCATGCTCTTTATTCTTCCTCTGTACTTATAAGATTTCGCAGAGACGAACTTTGCGTCCATTTTACACGTCTTGGAAAAAGTACAAACTTCGCAGTTCTTCGTCATGTCCCTAAACACTTTCAAGGGTCAATTTCGCGGACTCCTCGTTTCTCGCGGTTACCTTATCTCGCGAAAACTCCCTTTCGCACTCCCCTTTCGCCACCGCACCCCTTCCTTAGCCTGTGTGTCCTGCGGATCTACATTCGGGGAGTTTCAAGCAGCGCAGTACGCTCACGGCAGGCGGCAGGATTTGAGAGGCGAATGAGTCGAGCCTGTTCGTCTTTCCTGACGCCGAAATGCCTTACCTTCCCTGCCCCCGCATTTCCCCCTCTCCCTTTCCCCATCCCCTTCCCGCTTCCCCCTCTCCCTTCCCCCTTTCCCACCCCCTCCGTGGCCTTTCTCTCGTGATAAGACCTTTCTGGGGCGCCTACGGCCCCCGTCCCCTCCCCTTTCCCCCCCCTCACTGTTCCTACGCTTTCAAGCAGCGCAGCTTGTTCAAAGCGGGTTGCTGAATCTGGGCCGGATGAATGAGAGGGCTTGTGGGGAGTAACGTGAGGATGCGTCCCTTCTTGTCCCTGAATTCCCCCCATCACTCTCTTAGAATCTTCACACTTTCCTCCCTCAGTCCCTCCTCCCCCACCTCCCCCCCTCCCCCCCCTACCCCCCCTTCCTCCCCTCCTTCCCCCCTTATTATTTCTCCCTTCAAATTTTCGTCCAAATTCTTTCCCCCTCGCTCTGCCCCTTTTACAATCCCCCTTTCGTTCTTCCCCCATCATTTTCCTCCTCACACCCCCTCGCTCTATCCCCCTCACTCTTCCTCCGTCTCTCTCTCCCTCTCGCCCTCGCCCTTGCCACCACCCACTGCCAACGTGCTCACAGTGGGCAGCAGCGATGAGAGGGGCTTGCTGGCATGCTGCTGGCAACCCATCCCACCCCACCCCATCCCACCCCACCCCACTCCACCCCATCCCACCCCACCCGACCCCATCCCATCCGATCGCATCCCACCCTACCCCACCAGGGCTCGGAGCAGCGCAGTGTGTTCACAGTGGGCAGCAGCGTGTGGGTGCCGGACGAGGAGGACGCATGGGCGGAGGGCGACGTGGTGGGCGTCAAGGATGGCGCAGGCGCGGGGGCTGCGGGCGGGCAGGTGGTGGTGCGCACTATAGGGAAGAAGAAGCGCGAGGTGAGTGTGGGGATGCGTGTGTGTGGTGGTGTTGGTGATGCTCGTGTGTGGTGTGGTGCTGTTGATGGGTGGTGCTGGTTTTACGGGGCCTTAAAAAAATAAAACAAATATAGATAAATGGGTAGGGAGGGGCGTGCAGGTGGTGACCAAAGTCACGGTGGGGAGGAATGTGACTGTGTTAGTGACGATGATAGGGGGCGTGATAGAGACGGGCGTGGGGATGGTGATGGTGATGGGTGATGGTTGATGGGTGATGGTGTTGGTGATACGAGAATGGCGGAATCATGGACGACATGGTCAAGATGGTGTATGGCGGGAGTGCCTTTCGAGTCCACTCACTCAAAACTTTCCTCTCTCTCCCTTGCATTAACGCAGGTGACGGTAGCTGCGGGTGCGTGCTACGCAAGGGAGGAGGATGGGGGAATCATGGACGATATGGTCAAGATGGCCTCAACTACACACTGCTTCTCCTTCACTCCTCACACCTTCCCGTTCCCCTTTCACAGGTGACGGTAGCAGCGGGTGCGTGTTATGCATGGGAGGAGGATGGGGGAATCATGGATGATATGGTCAAGATGGCCTACCTGCACGAGCCGGGGGTGCCTCTGAACTCCACTCACTCAAAACCCTCCCCTCTCTTCCCTCGCTTCAATGCAGGTGACGGTAGCAGCGGGCGCGTGCTATGCGAGGGAGGAGGATGGGGGAATCATGGACGATATGGTCAAGATGGCCTACCTGCACGAGCCAGGGGTGCTCTGCAACCTCATGCTGCGCTACCAGCGCAACCTTATTTATGTGAGTGGTGGTGGTGGTGCGCATGAGATCTAAAGAAAATGAAAAAAATAGCAGGATCACTGGGTAAAGTGAATCAGAACAGGCAGGCACATAGGTTGAAGTTCACTTGTCGTGATTTTTGTGTGCTAATCCCCTGGTGAATCTCCCCTGGTGAATCTCCCCTGGTGAATCTCCCCTGGTGAATCTCAATCTTCGAATGCGATCCCCCCAAACCCAGAACCCGAAATCTAGAGTCTTAAACCCTGAACCAGAACCGAGTCCAGAACCGAGATTTAGAACCGGAAACATGAAAACTCAGTATCCTCTTCTTTCCCCCTCTCCTCTTCCCTCCCGGCTCCCTGCCCTCCCACCAGACGTACACGGGCAGCATTCTGATCGCAGCGAACCCGTTTATGCGCATACCAGGCATCTACGACCGGGAGATGAGGGAGGCGTACAGAGGGGCACAGATCGGTGACCTCAGCCCGCATGTGTTTGCCATTGCTGATAACGCATACAGGTGAGCAGGGTGGAAAATGGGGGGGGCGATCTTGGGCACAGAGGTAATGAGGTCCAGGTAGGGGAGAGCAGGTGAGGAGGGGCGAGGGGCCTTTGGACTCGAGTGTTCTGCATATCTAATGCATTCCTTTGGCATCATCCCTTTCAGCTCCCACCCACCCCTGCAAGGCAGCCAGTCGATTCTGAGATATTATAAAATTTGTCAGTAACTCAAACGTGTTGCATCAACCAATCAATACCCACCCCTCCAGGGCCATGGTGGATGATAAGCGCAGCCAGTCGATTCTGATAAGCAGATAACACTCCTGTCATTGAGTAAGCTCGCCAGTCGGTTTTGACCAGCAGAAAGAAGCCCTGTCATTGAGTAATCTTATTACTCTGCTACGCACCATACCTCCCACCCAACGCCCACCCCTGCAGGGCGATGGTGGACGATAAGCGCAGCCAGTCGATTCTAATCAGCGGGGAGAGCGGAGCTGGCAAGACAGAGACCACGAAGCTGGTGATGGAGTACCTGGCTTCAGTGGGTGGCCGGTCTGAGGCCACTGAGGGGCGCAGCATTGAGAGCCAAGTGCTGGAGGTGAGAGGGGGAAGCGGGTAGGGCAAAACAGGAGAGAGGAGAAGGGAGGGGTGTGGGGTGAGGGAGGTGAGGAAGAAGAAAGGAGGCAGGTGGTGGAATGGGGGTGTAGTAGGGTAAGAAAGGGGTGATGCAAAGGGGTGCCGAGCAGCGGGCAAGACAGAGACGACAAAGCTGGTGATGGAGTATCTGGCGTCCGTGGGGGGAAGGTCCGAGGTGACTGAGGGGCGCAGCATCGAGAGCCAAGTGCTGGAGGTGAGTCGAGTGGTCAAGCTCAGAACAGGGGGTGATGCTAATGAGGTGCAAAGTGCAACGAGCAAGCGGGCAAGTCAGAGATGACAAAGTTGGTGATGGAGTATCTGGCATTGGTGGGGGACCAATCTGAGGCCACTGAGGGGCGCAGCATCGAGAGCCAAGTGCTGGAGGTGAGTTGAGTGGGGAGTTGAGTGGGGAGTTGAGTGAAGAATGAATTGGGAGGCACAGCCTACTTTTCTCACGCTCCTCCTCGCCCTCTCTTGTGTTCCACCCACCAGTCGAACCCGTTGCTTGAAGCCTTTGGGAACGCCAAGACGGTGCGCAACGACAAGCAATTTCAACCACATTCCACCCCTCACCTCTCTTTCCCCTCCCTCTCCTACCAACCCACCAGTCCAACCCGTTGCTAGAAGCCTTTGGCAACGCCAAGACGGTGCGCAACGACAACTCGAGCCGCTTTGGCAAGTTCATCGAGATCCAGTTCGACCAGCGCGGCCGCGTGTCCGGCGCCGCCATCCGCTCCTACCTGCTCGAGCGGTCCAGTGCGGTGCAAAGTGGTGCATTCGTTCTCCTCTGCACCCACTCCTCTTTCCCCCTCGCCCTGTCCCACTCACACTTCTCCCCTTACTTCCCCTCCCATCCCACCCTCCTCCCTTGTTACCCACCAGTCAAACCCTCTCCTGGAGGCCTTTGGAAACGCCAAGACGGTGCGCAACGACAACTCGAGCCGCTTTGGCAAGTTCATCGAGATCCAGTTCGACCAGCGCGGCCGCGTGTCCGGTGCTGCCATCCGCTCCTACCTTCTAGAGCGGTCCAGAGTGGTGCAGATAGCAGACCCCGAGCGCAATTACCACTGCTTCTACCAGCTGTGTGCTGGCGCATCTCCTGAGGTAACCTTTGACAACTGGAATGTAAAATGCTGGAAGGAATTGCTAGTTGAGTCAAGAACCTGCTCGAGCAGTCCAGAGTGGTGCAGATAGCAGATCCCGAGCGCAACTACCACTGCTTCTACGGTCTACCAGCTCTGTGCTGGCGCATCCCCTGAGGTGCGTGCATGTGGCGACTTTTTTGAGGCGCCTCAAACGCCGGCGCTTTCCCTGAGGTTCGTGCGTGTGTACATGCGTGCGTGTGTACATGCGTGCGTGTGTACATGCGTGCGTGTGTACATGCGTGCGTGTGTACATGCGTGCGTGTGTACATGCGTGCGTGTGTACATGCGTGCGTGTGTACATGCGTGCGTGTGTACATGCGTGCGTGTGTACATGCGTGCGTGTGTACATGCGTGCGTGTGTAAATGCGTGCGTGTGTACATGCGTGCGTGTGTACATGCGTGCGTGTGTACATGCGTGCGGGTGTACATGCGTGCGTGTGTACATGCGTGCGTGTGTACATGCGTGCGTGTGTACATGCGTGCGTGTGTACATGCGTGCGTGTGTACATGCGTGCGTGTGTACATGCGTGCGTGTGTACATGCGTGCGTGTGTACATGCGTGCGTGTGTACATGCGTGCGTGTGTACATGCGTGCGTGTGTACATGCGTGCGTGTGTACATGCGTGCGTGTGTACATGCGTGGGTGTGTACATGCGTGCGTGTGTACATGCGTGCGGGTGTACATGCGTGCGTGTGTACATGCGTGCGGGTGTACATGCGTGCGTGTGTACATGCGTGCGTGTGTACATGCGTGCGTGTGTACATGCGTGCGTGTGTACATGCGTGCGTGTGTACATGCGTGCGTGTGTACATGCGTGCGTGTGTACATGCGTGCGTGTGTACATGCGTGCGTGTGTACATGCGTGCGTGTGTACATGCGTGCGTGTGTACATGCGTGCGTGTGTACATGCGTGCGTGTGTACATGCGTGCGTGTGTACATGCGTGCGTGTGTACATGCGTGCGTGTGTACATGCGTGCGTGTGTACATGCGTGCGTGTGTACATGCGTGCGTGTGTACATGCGTGCGTGTGTACATGCGTGCGTGTGTACATGCGTGCGTGTGTACATGCGTGCGTGTGTACATGCGTGCGTGTGTACATGCGTGCGTGTGTACATGCGTGCGTGTGTACATGCGTGCGTGTGTACATGCGTGCGGGTGTACATGCGTGCGTGTGTACATGCGTGCGTGTGTACATGCGTGCGTGTGTACATGCGTGCGTGTGTACATGCGTGCGGTGTGTACATGCGTGCGTGTGTACATGCGTGCGTGTGTACATGCGTGCGTGTGTACATGCGTGCGTGTGTACATGCGTGCGTGTGTACATGCGTGCGTGTGTACATGCGTGCTGGTGTACATGCGTGCGTGTGTACATGCGTGCGTGTGTACATGCGTGCGTGTGTACATGCGTGCGTGTGTACATGCGTGCGTGTGTACATGCGTGCGTGTGACATGCGGTATGCGTGTGTACAGGTACATGCGTGCGTGTGTACATGCGTGCGTGTGTACATGCGTGCGTGTGTACATGCGTGCGTGTGTACATGCGTGCGTGTGTACATGCGTGCGTGTGTACATGCGTGCGTGTGTACATGCGTGCGTGTGTACATGCGTGCGTGTGTACATGCGTGCGTGTGTACATGCGTGCGTGTGTACATGCGTGCGTGTGTACATGCGTGCGTGTGTACATGCGTGCGTGTGTACATGCGTGCGTGTGTACATGCGTGCGTGTGTACATGCGTGCGTGTGTACATGCGTGCGTGTGTACATGCGTGCGTGTGTACATGCGTGCGTGTGTACATGCGTGCGTGTGTACATGCGTGCGTGTGTACATGCGTGCGGGTGTACATGCGTGCGTGTGTACATGCGTGCGTGTGTACATGCGTGCGTGTGTACATGCGTGCGGGTGTACATGCGTGCGGGTGTACATGCGTGCGTGTGTACATGCGTGCGTGTGTACATGCGTGCGTGTGTACATGCGTGCGGGTGTACATGCGTGCGTGTGTACATGCGTGCGTGTGTACATGCGTGCGTGTGTACATGCGTGCGTGTGTACATGCGTGCGTGTGTACATGCGTGCGTGTGTACATGCGTGCGTGTGTACATGCGTGCGTGTGTACATGCGTGCGTGTGTACATGCGTGCGTGTGTACATGCGTGCGTGTGTACATGCGTGCGTGTGTACATGCGTGCGTGTGTACATGCGTGCGTGTGTACATGCGTGCGTGTGTACATGCGTGCGTGTGTACATGCGTGCGTGTGTACATGCGTGCGTGTGTACATGCGTGCGTGTGTACATGCGTGCGTGTGTACATGCGTGCGTGTGTACATGCGTGCGTGTGTACATGCGTGCGTGTGTACATGCGTGCGTGTGTACATGCGTGCGTGTGTACATGCGTGCGTGTGTACATGCGTGCGTGTGTACATGCGTGCGTGTGTACATGCGTGCGTGTGTACATGCGTGCGTGTGTACATGCGTGCGTGTGTACATGCGTGCGTGTGTACATGCGTGCGGGTGTACATGCGTGCGTGTGTACATGCGTGCGTGTGTACATGCGTGCGTGTGTACATGCGTGCGTGTGTACATGCGTGCGTGTGTACATGCGTGCGTGTGTACATGCGTGCGTGTGTACATGCGTGCGTGTGTACATGCGTGCGTGTGTACATGCGTGCGTGTGTACATGCGTGCGTGTGTACATGCGTGCGTGTGTACATGCGTGCGTGTGTACATGCGTGCGTGTGTACATGCGTGCGTGTGTACATGCGTGCGTGTGTACATGCGTGCGGGTGTACATGCGTGCGGGTGTACATGCGTGCGGGTGTACATGCGTGCGGGTGTACATGCGTGCGTGTGTACATGCGTGCGTGTGTACATGCGTGCGTGTGTACATGCGTGCGTGTGTACATGCGTGCGTGTGTACATGCGTGCGGGTGTACATGCGTGCGGGTGTACATGCGTGCGTGTGTACATGCGTGCGTGTGTACATGCGTGCGTGTGTACATGCGTGCGTGTGTACATGCGTGCGTGTGTACATGCGTGCGTGTGTACATGCGTGCGTGTGTACATGCGTGCGTGTGTACATGCGTGCGTGTGTACATGCGTGCGTGTGTACATGCGTGCGTGTGTACATGCGTGCGTGTTGTACATGCGTGCGTGTGTACATGCGTGCGTGTGTACATGCGTGCGTGTGTACATGCGTGCGTGTGTACATGCGTGCGTGTGTACATGCGTGCGTGTGTACATGCGTGCGTGTGTACATGCGTGCGTGTGTACATGCGTGCGTGTGTACATGCGTGCGGGTGTACATGCGTGCGTGTGTACATGCGTGCGTGTGTACATGCGTGCGGGTGTACATGCGTGCGGGTGTACATGCGTGCGTGTGTACATGCGTGCGTGTGTACATGCGTGCGTGTGTACATGCGTGCGTGTGTACATGCGTGCGTGTGTACATGCGTGCGTGTGTACATGCGTGCGTGTGTACATGCGTGCGTGTGTACATGCGTGCGTGTGTACATGCGTGCGTGTGTACATGCGTGCGGGTGTACATGCGTGCGGGTGTACATGCGTGCGTGTGTACATGCGTGCGTGTGTACATGCGTGCGTGTGTACATGCGTGCGTGTGTACATGCGTGCGTGTGTACATGCGTGCGTGTGTACATGCGTGCGTGTGTACATGCGTGCGTGTGTACATGCGTGCGTGTGTACATGCGTGCGTGTGTACATGCGTGCGTGTGTACATGCGTGCGGGTGTACATGCGTGCGGGTGTACATGCGTGCGGGTGTACATGCGTGCGTGTGTACATGCGTGCGTGTGTACATGCGTGCGGGTGTACATGCGTGCGTGTGTACATGCGTGCGTGTGTACATGCGTGCGTGTGTACATGCGTGCGTGTGTACATGCGTGCGGGTGTACATGCGTGCGGGTGTACATGCGTGCGTGTGTACATGCGTGCGGGTGTACATGCGTGCGTGTGTACATGCGTGCGTGTGTACATGCGTGCGTGTGTACATGCGTGCGTGTGTACATGCGTGCGTGTGTACATGCGTGCGTGTGTACATGCGTGCGTGTGTACATGCGTGCGTGTGTACATGCGTGCGTGTGTACATGCGTGCGTGTGTACATGCGTGCGGGTGTACATGCGTGCGGGTGTACATGCGTGCGTGTGTACATGCGTGCGTGTGTACATGCGTGCGTGTGTACATGCGTGCGGGTGTACATGCGTGCGTGTGTACATGCGTGCGTGTGTACATGCGTGCGTGTGTACATGCGTGCGGGTGTACATGCGTGCGGGTGTACATGCGTGCGGGTGTACATGCGTGCGTGTGTACATGCGTGCGGGTGTACATGCGTGCGTGTGTACATGCGTGCGTGTGTACATGCGTGCGTGTGTACATGCGTGCGTGTGTACATGCGTGCGTGTGTACATGCGTGCGTGTGTACATGCGTGCGTGTGTACATGCGTGCGTGTGTACATGCCTTGCGTGTGTACATGCGTGCGTGTGTACATGCGTGCGGGTGTACATGCGTGCGGGTGTACATGCGTGCGGGTGTACATGCGTGCGTGTGTACATGCGTGCGTGTGTACATGCGTGCGTGTGTACATGCGTGCGTGTGTACATGCGTGCGTGTGTACATGCGTGCGTGTGTACATGCGTGCGTGTGTACATGCGTGCGTGTGTACATGCGTGCGTGTGTACATGCGTGCGTGTGTACATGCGTGCGTGTGTACATGCGTGCGTGTGTACATGCGTGCGGGTGTACATGCGTGCGGGTGTACATGCGTGCGGGTGTACATGCGTGCGGGTGTACATGCGTGCGTGTGTACATGCGTGCGTGTGTACATGCGTGCGTGTGTACATGCGTGCGTGTGTACATGCGTGCGTGTGTACATGCGTGCGTGTGTACATGCGTGCGGGTGTACATGCGTGCGGGTGTACATGCGTGCGTGTGTACATGCGTGCGTGTGTACATGCGTGCGTGTGTACATGCGTGCGTGTGTACATGCGTGCGTGTGTACATGCGTGCGTGTGTACATGCGTGCGTGTGTACATGCGTGCGTGTGTACATGCGTGCGTGCGTACATGCGTGCATGTGTACATGCGTGCGGGTGTACATGCGTGCGGGTGTACATGCGTGCGTGTGTACATGCGTGCGGGTGTACATGCGTGCGTGTGTACATGCGTGCGTGTGTACATGCGTGCGTGTGTACATGCGTGCGTGTGTACATGCGTGCGTGTGTACATGCGTGCGTGTGTACATGCGTGCGTGTGTACATGCGTGCGTGTGTACATGCGTGCGGGTGTACATGCGTGCGGGTGTACATGCGTGCGTGTGTACATGCGTGCGTGTGTACATGCGTGCGGGTGTACATGCGTGCGGGTGTACATGCGTGCGTGTGTACATGCGTGCGTGTGTACATGCGTGCGTGTGTACATGCGTGCGTGTGTACATGCGTGCGGGTGTACATGCGTGCGTGTGTACATGCGTGCGTGTGTACATGCGTGCGGGTGTACATGCGTGCGTGTGTACATGCGTGCGTGTGTACATGCGTGCGTGTGTTACATGCGTGCGTGTGTACATGCGTGCGTGTGTACATGCGTGCGTGTGTACATGCGTGCGTGTGTACATGCGTGCGTGTGTACATGCGTGCGTGTGTACATGCGTGCGTGTGTACATGCGTTGCGTGTGTACATGCGTGCGTGTGTACATGCGTGCGTGTGTACATGCGTGCGTGTGTACATGCGTGCGGGTGTACATGCGTGCGTGTGTACATGCGCGCGTGTGTACATGCGCGCGTGTGTACATGCGTGCGTGTGTACATGCGTGCGTGTGTACATGCTTGCGTGTGTACATGCGTGCATGTGTACATGCGTGCGTGTGTACATGCGTGCGTGTGTACATGCGTGCGTGTGTACATGCGTGCGGGTGTACATGCGTGCGGGTGTACATGCGTGCGTGTGTACATGCGTGCGGGTGTACATGCGTGCGTGTGTACATGCGTGCGTGTGTACATGCGTGCGTGTGTACATGCGTGCGTGTGTACATGCGTGCGTGTGTACATGCGTGCGTGTGTACATGCGTGCGTGTGTACATGCGTGCTTGTGTACATGCGTGCGTGTGTACATGCGTGCGTGTGTACATGCGTGCGTGTGTACATGCGTGCGTGTGTACATGCGTGCGTGTGTACATGCGTGCGTGTGTACATGCGTGCGTGTGTACATGCGTGCGTGTGTACATGCGTGCGTGTGTACATGCGTGCGTGTGTACATGCGTGCGTGTGTACATGCGTGCGTGTGTACATGCGTGCGGGTGTACATGCGTGCGTGTGTACATGCGTGCGTGTGTACATGCGCGCGTGTGTACATGCGCGCGTGTGTACATGCGCGCGTGTGTACATGCGTGCGTGTGTACATGCGCGCGTGTGTACTTGCGTGCGTGTGTACATGCGTGCGTGTGTACATGCGTGCGTGTGTACATGCGTGCGGGTGTACATGCGTGCGGGTGTACATGCGTGCGTGTGTACATGCGTGCGTGTGTACATGCGTGCGTGTGTACATGCGTGCGTGTGTACATGCGTGCGTGTGTACATGCGTGCGTGTGTACATGCGTGCGTGTGTACATGCGTGCGTGTGTACATGTGTGCGTGTGTACATGTGTGCGTGTGTACATGCGTGCGTGTGTACATGCGTGCGTGTGTACATGCGTGCGTGTGTACATGCGTGCGGGTGTACATGCGTGCGGGTGTACATGCGTGCGTGTGTACATGCGTGCGTGTGTACATGCGTGCGTGTGTACATGTGTGCGTGTGTACATGCGTGCGTGTGTACATGCGTGCGTGTGTACATGTGTGCGTGTGTACATGTGTGCGTGTGTACATGTGTGCGTGTGTACATGCGTGCGTGTGTACATGCGTGCGTGTGTACATGCGTGCGTGTGTACATGCGTGCGTGTGTACATGTGTGCGTGTGTACATGTGTGCGTGTGTACATGTGTGCGTGTGTACATGCGTGCGTGTGTACATGTGTGCGTGTGTACATGCGTGCGTGTGTACATGTGTGCGTGTGTGAGTGGATGGGTGCATGCATGCACAGATTGGTCCCAGATTGGTTGGCTTTGGATTGGCCTTTTGAACACTCCAAGGCCAACTTTGTGCTCAAACCCTTCTGTCCTCTCTCCTCTCCTCTTCCCTTCCCCTCTTTTCCTTCCAAGAAGCAGAGAGGTGCCGACTGCCAGAGGGGCCGAACAGGGCAAGGAGCTTGGTGTGGTGTGAGTTGAGCACTCAATACGCATACCCTGTTCATACCTTCTTCACTTCCCATCCGCGCAGGAGGCAGAGAAATACCGGCTTCCCCCGGGGCCGAACAGAGCAGAGAAGTTTCACTACCTGAAGCAGAGCAAGTGCATCGAGCTGGAGGGGAAGCGCAGCAATGCGGAGGAGTATGTTATCACACGGAATGCCATGGACGTTATTGGGATCTCCCAGGACGAACAGGTGAGGGTGGGCGGTGGAATACGAGTGGAGGGATACGGGTCACGAGATTTCTCAGGTCAGAATGGCAACGCGGAGGAGTATGTTATCACGCAGAACGCCATGGACGTTATTGGGATCTCACAGGACGAACAGGTGAGGATAGTGGGAGGTGGAGTGAGTGTGGAGTGTTGGGTGGGTCGCTGGGATGGGGGGCAAGAAGATACTGGTGAGATCAACATGGCAATGCGGGAAAAGGTGTGTTAGCACTCGGAATATCAAGGGGAGGAGTGAGATTGATTGGGAAGGCAGCACTCACCCGCCGCCATACATACTGTCCCTATCTTGCTCTGCAGCCATCGCCCACTTTCCCCACCACCCCTCTCACCCCATCCCCCGCCTTCCCACCCTCCCCTCTCGACACCCCTTCCATTTGCGTGTGTGCATGTAGGCGACGATATTTGGTTTTGAGACGTCTCAAAACGTGTGTGCATGTAGGCGACGATATTTGGTTTTGAGACGTCTCAAAACGTGTGTGCATGTAGGCGACGATATTTGGTTTTGAGACGTCTCAAAACGTGTGTGCATGTAGGCGACGATATTTGGTTTTGAGACGTCTCAAAACGTGTGTGCATGTAGGCGACGATATTTGGTTTTGAGACGTCTCAAAACGTGTGTGCATGTAGGCGACGATATTTGGCATCGTGGCTGCCATTCTGCATCTGGGCATCTTTTGAGTCGACTAAAAAATGGCATCGTGGCTGCCATTCTGCATCTGGGCATCTTTTGAGTCGACTCAAAAATGGCATCGTGGCTGCCATTTTGCATCTGGGCAACATGGAGTTGAAGGAGAGATTTGTCAACGATTTCTTCTCATGCCATGCCCCACCCACCGCACCCCCCCATCCCCCCTCACACACGCCCCCCACCCCAATCCCCCCACGCCCAACCATCCCCCCCCTGCAGGCATCGATATTCGGCATAGTGGCGGCCATTCTGCATCTGGGCAACGTGGAATTGAAGGAGAAGGGCGACAAGATGCGAGCTGCCAAGGATTCCTCCTTTCCAGACATGCTACAACCCGGCCACCTCAACCCCCCACCCATCCCCCCCGAGCAGGCTTTGATATTCGGCATAGTGGCGGCCATTCTGCATCTGGGGAACGTGGAGTTCAAGGAGAAGGGCGACAAGATGCGCATCGCCAAAATTACTCCTATCCAAACATGCCATTTCCCTCCCCCCTCACACACACCCCCCATTCGCCCTCTCTCTCTCCCCCCTTCCTCTCCCCCTCCTCTCCAACTCCTTTTTTCTTAAACCCTCCACCTGTCCTGGTTCATGCATGCAGGCATCAATATTCGGCATAGTGGCGGCCATTCTGCATCTGGGAAACGTGGAGTTCAAGGAGAAGGGCGACAAGATGCGCATCGCCAAGCACTCGGAAGAGAACCTCGAGAACGTCGCTCACCTGCTCTCGTAAGCACCCTGGTCTCGAAAAAAGTCCTAGGACGTGCCGTGTCCATTATTCTCCCCTGTTTTTGAGCTGTCAGCGCATCCCTGCTCATTGCTAACTGTTGCTGTTGTTGCAGCCCGTTTAAATGTCCAAGGAGAAAAAAGAGCCCGCTGCCACTGCCAACTCCTGCAGCTGATGTTGCTCCTGGACGCGAGTTTTGAGTCGACTTAAAGCTGGAAGCTGGAGCTTCTTCCTGTCACCTCCTTTTCCCCGCTTGTCTCAGGAGTCGCTGTGCACGGTGAAGCGCAAGGTGGAATGGACGGCGGTGAGATGGTTCGATAAGACTGTGCTCTTTCTCATGCCACACTCCCGCTACTGTTCCCAACATCCCTATCCCCATCCCAACCTCTTCCCCAATTCCCCCCAGGTTCGACAAGAAGAAGCTTCAGGAGTCGCTATGCACGATGAAGCACAAGGTGGGAGGCGAGGTGATGCTTTGATTACACCGTGCTGTTTCGCATGCAACACACCGCCACTTTTCCCCACATCACACCCCCGTCCCCGGTCCTTCCAGGTGCGACAAGAAGAAGCTTCAGGAGTCACTATGCACGATGAAGCGCAAGGTGGGAGGCGAGGTGATCAAGAGCTATTTGGATGAGAAGGGGGCTGTGGTGCGCCGAGACACGCTCGCTAAAACGCTCTACTCCAAGCTCTTTGACTGGTGGGTGGGTGACTGGTGGATGGTTGGATGGTGGGTGGTTGATGGTCATTGCTGGGCTGTTTTATGTATTGTTGAATTTTCTTGTGTCTTACCTCACAACCCAAGCCACCACTCTCACAACCTCCCCTCCCCACTCCTGTCTCCTCAACCCCTTTTCCGCACTCACTTTCCAATCACAGGATAGTGGAGAAGGTGAATCGGTCCATCGGCCAGGATGCCAACTCCATGGCCCTCATTGGCGTGCTTGATATCTATGGCTTCGAGCACTTCAAACTCAACAGGTGGGCTGCTTTGCTGGCTGGAAAGCAGCGAGAATGCTCACTGTAACAGCGTGTGCCACTTTTACTTCAAGTTATACTAGCCTCTGTTCCCATTGGAGAAAAAAAAAAACGAATCTGATGAAACGTTTAATAATCAGAGTGCAAAGTCGCTTCCCGAGGGATTTATGCACGAGGTTATAACGGAAGCTTGCGGTCATGTCAGCAAGCACGTATCGCGAACGATTCGCCAAGAGTTTATGCGCAAGCTTGCCTTTGTGGTTCGCAAGCTTTGCTTGCGAACACTTTATACACCTAAAGGTTAAGGTGCAAGCATCCTCCCTTCCCTCTTCGCTCCTTGCACTGCTCCACCTCCTCGCCTCCTCCTTCTCTCGTCCTTCCCTTCCCTCCTCTCACCCTCTTCACCAACTTTCCCTTCCCCCTCGATTCTCCACTCATTCATTCTCCCTAAAGCCTGCTAGAAATATTCGTCCCCATTTACGCATCTGTTTAAATGCTTCACCCTCCCCTTTTCTCCCCCACCCCCCCCACAAATCTCCACCTCTTTTTCCTCTCCCCCTTACAGCTTCGAGCAATTCTGTATCAACCTGGCAAATGAGAAGCTTCAGCAGCATTTTAACCAGGTACCTCAACTGTAGCTTGTCTCAAAATGCAAGTTTTGGTAGCACTTTATCTAGAGTCACGTTTCGCATATCCTTTCTCTCCGCTGCTTCCCTTCCTTTTTTTTCTCGCTCCTCCCCATTTTCTCACACTCACACTCGCATCCACGCGGTTCTATCTGTGCACGAACAGCAGCAGGGGTGCGAGCTGATGCTCTTCCTCATCTCATCACACGTTCCCCCTCACTGTTTCTACTCTTCTTCTCTCACGCACCCATCAACCACCAGCACGTGTTGAAGCTAGAGCAGGAGGAGTACGAACGGGAGGAGATCAATTGGAGCTACATCAACTTTCGAGACAACCAGGACGTGCTGGACCTCGTGGAAGGGGTGAGCTGATGGGTGGGTGGGGTGAGAGAATTAAATGGAACTGATGGGTGGGATGAGACGGGTGATTTTGTGTGGACTAATGGCAGGGGTGAGCTGATGCGCACTAGTGTGAGCTGTAAGAGGAGATCAACTGGAGCTACATCATTCTCCGCGACAACCAGGACGTGCTAGACCTCGTGGAAGGGGTGAGCTGATGGGTTGGGGACGAGTGGGAAGGGGTGAGTGAGGGCATGGGTGGGGTGAGAGGTGTGAGCAGATGAGGTATAATGGAGTGGAGGGAGGGGTGGGTGAGGTGTTAGAGGAGATCAACTGGAGCTACATCAACTTTCGGGACAACCGGGACGTGCTGGATTTAGTGGAAGGGGTGATCTGATGGGTGGGTGTGGCTAGTGCCAGTAGGACTAGTGGTTGAGTGAGATGCAGGCAGTGGAAAGGCGTGAGCTGATGCGGCTGGTGCTATATAGAGTGAGTAGCTGCATCTTCTATTTGCCATCTCGTGTTCGTCAAAGCTGCTCTGAACCATCTACTTCCATACTCAGGCATCTTTGACAACACACCCAAACAGGCTTGACAACATGCATATGTCTCGCACCATTGCTCCCACAGGGCTGTGGGTGGGTGCATGTGCGTGGACAGTAGCTCTTATTGTCCTCTCTCGCTTTGAGACGTCACAATGATTGTCCTCTCTCGTTCCCTTGTGCTGCTTCTTTCTGCTGCTGCAGGACAAGGGCATTCTCACACTGCTCGATTCAGCTTGGTACGTTCCATCTCCCTGCCTTTCCAGCCCTCACCGTTTCCATATACCCTTGTTCTTCAGTGCCCCCCCCCCCTTTTTTTTTTGGGGGGGGGGGGAGTCGACCCTAAGTTTTCCTCAAAAACAGAGTCTATGCCTTTCCTGCCCTCACCGTGTCTCTGTCTGTCTTTCATACACCTATGCTTTCCTCACACACGAGCAAACCAGCGCAAGAGCACTGGCACTCTTCCCCTCCTTCCCTTTCTCTCCCAACCCACAGCAAGCTAGCCCAGTCAACTCCCGAGTCCTTCACCATGTCGCTCTACGACGCCTTTCTCAAGCACGAGCGATTCACCAAGTCCAAGGGCTCTGTCACTGACTTCACACTGGAGCACTACGCGGGGCGAGTCAAGTACAGCACCACCGATTTCATCAGCAAGAACCTCGACGCCGTGGCCTCAGAGCATGAGGCGCTGCTGCAGAAGTCCACCGACCCGTTTGTGGCCGCGCTGTTCCCCGTTGCGCCCGAGGAGGTGAAGGAGGGCGGGGGCAAGGGCGGCAAGGCCACCACCAAGTTTGCATCCCTCGGGAAGTCGTTCAAGGTGAGTGATGCACGCAGCACCCTAGACCAGAAACCTTAAACCCGTAACCCTGAAGTAAGGGTGTGTGTGACTGTTGAAGGCGAAAATCATCATGTCGCCATTGATTAAGATGACAGTGCAAGATCTAGCACGGAAGGGCCTAGGACAAGGAAAAACCACCTCTTCTTCCTGGGCCTTGTTTGCTTTTTTTTTTTTTCCTTGGTTACACCCTTTGTTTTGTCACTGTGCAGCTACAACTGGCGCAGCTGATGGAGACGCTGAACCGCACAGAACCGCACTACATCCGGTGCATCAAGCCCAACTCGAAGAGCCGACCGGCGCTGTTTGAGAAGAGCATGGTGGTGGAGCAGCTGCGATCGGGGGTGAGTGCGATGGGGGAATGAAGAGGGAGAAGAGGGGACGATCGCGGGATGACACTGGGGAGAGATAAGAAGGATGAAGACTGGGGTGGTGTGGCTGTGCTGTTTGAGAAGAGCATGGCGGTGGAGCAGCTGCAATCGGGGGTGAGTGCAATGGGGGGATGGGAAAGGGGTTAGAGGTGTCAGGGTTGAGTGAGGGAGATGAGGGATAGGTACAGCGGTTGTGCTGTTTGAGAAGAGCGTGGTGGTGGAACAGCTGTGATCCGGGGTGAGTGCAGGAGATGAGAGAGGTGAGTAGCTTGGGCGGGAGTGAAGGGCAGGGTTGTGCTGTTTGAGAAGAGCATAATGGTGGAGCAGCTGCGATCGAGGGTGAGTGCTATGGCGGGATAAGGAGGGGACTAGAGGTGTTGCAGGTGAGTAAGGGAGGCGGGAGCGAAGGTTCACTCACGCCTAGTCAAGGTGCTGTTTGAGAAGAGCATAATGGTGGAGCAGCTGCGGTCGAGGTTGAGTGGGGGAGGCGAGGGGTGAGGGGGTGGTTGAGTTGGGCGGGAGTGATGGGTCGGGCGGGATGTGGTGTTCCAGAAAGCATGATCGGGCTGGGGTGCTGTAATAGCTGCAGCTGGGGATGAGTGGGGCCGATGAGGGATGGAGGGTTTGGGGAGGAAGTTATCAGAACCGCTGTTTATGGATAAGGTGTGATGTGGTAAAGCACTGGAGCATTGCACACTTTATCTACAATCCCCCACCGTCCCACCCACATCACCCCTATTCCAAACTTCTTCCCCACCGCCCCTCGCTTCCCCTGTGTTGCAGGGAGTGCTGGAGGCCATTCGCATGTGCTCTGCGGGCTACCCCACTCGGCGCCTCTTTGACGACTTCATTGACAGATTCTCGCTGCTCGTGCCCTCGCTCTTTGACAAGGAGTGAGTCCCTTGCCTTGCCCTCATTCGTCTCCACCTGGAGCCTCCCCGAGAAGCAACCTAGTGATTTCACCAGCCTGGCGAGGCGAGGCACCCCACTAGTTGCTTCTTTGATGATTTTGTTGACAGATTCGCGCTTCTCATCCCTTCCCTCTTTGACAAGAAGTGAGCTGTGTGTACCCTGTGAGTGACTCCCTCCTGTACTTCATCAACCCATTCACTCTCCTTTTCTCCTCGTTTTCACTTTCGTCCTTTCCCATTCTTCCTTGCCTTGTTCGCACAGAATGTCAGACCCTGAGTACGTCGAGGTCATCCTGCGCCATGCCAAGCTGGAGAATTACCAGGTGAGCTCGGATTTTCTGAGAATTCTAAAAAATCTCCGCACGAGTGTGTTTGTGTGTGGGTGGGCGGGGGGTGGATGTGTGTGTGCGCACGTGCGCTCGCACGCATGCGCGTGTGTGTGGGGGTCCTTCTTTGTGTGTAGGCAGGGGGTTGGTATGTACACACTCGCGCATCCGTGTGTGCAAGTGGTGGTCGTAACCACCAGCTTTTGAGGCGCCTCAAAAGTCGTATCCGTGTGTGCAAGTGGTGGTAGTAACCACCAGCAGATAGGTACGACAACGATGATTCCTTCCCGCACTCCACCCCTCCGTCCCTCACAGGTCGGCAAGTCCAAGGTGTTCCTCCGTGCGGGGAAGATGGCTCTGATGGAGTCGCGGCGCCTGGAGGTCATGAACGCTGCTGCTGCCGCTCTGCTGGTGCACCCTCACCAAGTGTTCCTTATGCATTCCACACTCTACCCCCCCTCCCCCGACCCCCCACCCTCTCCCCGCCCACCCCCTACCCCTCTCTTGTCCCCACAGATCGGCTGATGGTCCAGTGTGTTTTTTCGAGCAGGGCCGATCGAGCTGGCGGAGAGGAGACGTGCCGCCTGGAGGGGATGAACACTGATGCTACTGTGCATACTTACACAACTGCATGCGCCGTCCCGTGCACTACCCCCCCCTCTCCCCCTCCTCCTCCAGATCGGCAAGTTCGAGGTATTCCTACGAGCAGGGCAGATGGCGTTGATGGAGACGTACCGCCTCGAGATCATGAACGCTGCTGCTGCTCTGCATACTCACACGATTGCATGCACTCCGCCCATTCATTCCCCATGCATTCCTTGCTCTCTCTCCCCCAACAGATCGGCAAGTCGAAAATATTTCTACGTGCAGGGCAGATGGCCCTGATGGAGACGTGCCGTCTGGAGATCATGAACGCTGCAGCGGCCCGCATTCAGCGTGCCACGCGCCGCTTCCTCTTCCGCCTGCACCGCGCCCGCGCCGCCCTCTGCATCCAGAAGCTTTGGCGCGGTGAGTTGGGCTTTTGTGGCACTATGTTGTTGCTTTGAGTGATCCTACTGTTTGTTGCTCGTGAGGCTCTCTCTTGCTGCACCGCGCCCGCGCTGCCCTCTGCATCCGGAAGCTCTGGCGTGGTGAGTGGGGTTATTTATCGTGGCGCTATTTTGTTGTGGTGAGTGGGGCTCTCTGTTGCTCCTCCCGGTGATATCCCCCTTTCTGCGCTGCCCTCTGTGTCCAGAAGCTCTGGCACGGTGAGTGGGATTAGCATGCTGCTGTGAGGTGGTCTCTCTGTTGCTCCTCTCAGTGATATCTTTCTTTTCAGTGCTGCCCTCTGCATCCAGAAGCTCTGGTGCGGTGAGAGGGATTAGCATGCTGCTCTGGCCCTCTCTTGCTGCCTCCAGCGCTGCGTTCTGCATCTCTCTACTGTCGCTCTCCGTGTCTTTCACATTGCCCCTCGGCATCCAACAACACTACTACGTCTGGTATATGATTCGGATTTCTCCCCTTCTTTCCCTTCCCCTCCGCTTCCCCTCCCTTACCTTCCCTACCCTTCCCTACTCCACTCCAGCCTACACGGCCCGTGTATTCGTGCACCACCTGCGGCAGCGCCTGGCAGCAACGTGCATCCAGAGGATGGAGCGAGGCCGGCAGCAGCGGATGCGCTTCCTTGTGCTGCGACGGGCAGCAATCACCATCCAAGCCAAGTACCGCATGCACCTCTACCGCATGCGATACCTGCACATGCGCGACAACCTCGCTGCCACCCACATTCAGGTGTGCTTCTGGGCTTCGCTTGGGTCAGGTTCATGGGTTTGCAGTGTGTCGTAGTAGCTTTGAAAGTACCAAACCGAGCTGCAATCACCATCCAAGCCAAGTACCGCATGCACCTCTATCGGATGTGAAACCTGCACATGCGCGACAACCTCGCTGCCACCCACATTCAGGTGTGTGCGTGGGTGTGACGGCGTAAGACGATTGCGTTTGGTTTGGTTTGGGTGTCCATTACTGAGTCTCGCTTTGGAGTGTGTGCGGAGCCGAGCAGCAGTGACCATCCAAGCCACGTACGGCATGCGATACCTGCACATGCGTGACAACCTGGCTGCCGCCCACATTCAGGTGTGTGCGTCGGATAACAAGGTTACAAGAGTGTCTCTGATTTGAGTGTCTCTGATTTGAGTGTCTCTGATTTGAGTGTCTCTGATTTGAGTGTCTGATTTGAGTCTCTGATTTGAGTGTCTCTGATTTGAGTGTCTCTGATTTGAGTGTCTCTGATTTGAGTGTCTCTGATTTGAGTGTCTCTGATTTGAGTGTCTCTGATTTGAGTGTCTCTGATTTGAGTGTCTCTGATTTGAGTGTCTCTGATTTGAGTGTCTCTGATTTGAGTGTCTCTGATTTGAGTGTCTCTGATTTGAGTGTCTCTGATTTGAGTGTCTCTGATTTGAGTGTCTCTGATTTGAGTGTCTCTGATTTGAGTGTCTCTGATTTGAGTGTCTCTGATTTGAGTTTCTCTGATTTGAGTTTCACTTGGTGCATCTGGCTGTGGAGAGTGTGCGGATCCGAGTGAGCAGCAGTGACCATCCAAGCCACGTATTTTGAGAAAAGCGTTAGTACGGGTCTGTGGCTGACTGATGGTTCGTGATTTTGGCGGCTTTAGGGCTCATGTCCAGATTTTATGTCCTGCCGGCACAGCTATCTGCGTCTCTTCTCTGCTCTTACTTGATTCCTGCCATGCTTCCCTTCTCTCTCACTTCTCTCCTCCTCCCCTCTGCCCGTCTCCCTCTCTCAGCAGCGTCACTGCGGGGTTATGCGGCTCGCAAGCCCTGGAAGGCTCTTTGATTTTGAGGTGCCCAAAACATTACCTTTTCATCCACCACCCACCCCCCCATGCTTCCCCTCCCCCCCTCTGCTCGCCTCTCTCTCCCAACCCCAGTGTCACTGGCGGGGCTATGTGGTGCGCAAGCCCTGGAAGGCCATGCGGCAACACTTCTTTGCACGGCTGGCGAGGCTTCGGTATAAGAACCTCAAGCTGGTGCGTGCCTGTGCCTGGTCAATTTGATAATCTTAATTGATAAAGAATGTGTATCCCTCCCCCCTATCGACTGTCTTCCCAATCGCCCTCTATTTCTCTAATTTCCACACTCCCCAACCAATCCATCCCAAACTCCTCCCCTCCCGGTTGGGCCCTTGTGACCCCCCACCATCGTTCCAGAGCACATCATTTGTAGCAATGACTTGACCCACGCTGACTCTTCTCCTTTCAGTTTTTGCCAGATTTATTTCCTCGCAGCTCCCAACCTTGTGGTTACGCTTGCTTGCTCCTCTGCTTTCATCCCCTTCCATCCATTCCACCAATCGCAGGAGGCGACTCGCATTGCTGAGCTGGCGCCGCCGCGCAAGAAGACAGAGGTGGCGATGGATACGATCCGCATGATGGTGCTGCGCGTGCAACGGGTGAGTGTGACTGTTGGGGGGTTTAATAGGGGCATGTGATAGTAAAGAGATTAGCACACTGATGGACGAGAAGGTAGAGGTGGCGATGGATACGATCCGCATGATGGTGCTGCGCATGCAACGGGTGAGTGTGACTGTACGGGGGGGGTGGGGGGCGTGGAGTGGGGACTGTGATTGTATAAGGCTAGGGCCCCACCATACAAGAAGACAGAAGTGGCGATGGATATGATATGATCCGCACGATGGTGCTGAGGGCGCAGAGAGTGAGTGTGACTGTACGGGAGGTTGGAGGGGGGGTGTTATGATAAGGGGAATAGAGTGCCAGATGCGTGACAGCTGTCTTGGGGTAGAATATGAGTGTGACTGTACTTTGAAGATGGATAGGCTTGTAAAAATCCCTCTCCAAATCACACATCCGATGCTGCACCCCTTTCCTACACACCCTCCCCTCTCCCTCACAACAGGACAAGGCGGAGAAGGGGCGGCAGGTCCTGGAGCGCCAGCTGGCGGAGGCAAGAGAGGAGGTGGAGCGGCGGGGTAGGGAGATTGCAGCACAAGGCAGGGAGATAGCCCGGCTGCAAGAGATGCTAGATGCAGAGCAGGCGAGGGCAGAGGCTGCAGAGGCAGAGGTGAGGGAAATGGTGGCGGAGAGGGAGGAGCAGCGGGAGGAGCAGCAGCAGCACTTGGTGAAAATGAAGGAGCTGTCTGTGTTGCCGGATGTGCTCAGCCATACGCCCACTGCTGCTGGTGCAGGTGCTGGTGGTGGTGGTGGTGGGTTTGGTGATGGTGCTGCTGCTAGGGATGAGGCTAGGCTGTTGGCAAATGCGGCAGCTGCAGCAGTGGCGGCTGTTGACGGGGCGGTGGGAGCAACTGAAGCAGCAGGAGCTACTGCAGGTTTTAGAGACGAGGCAGGAGGGGCTGAAGCTACTGCTGCAGCAGACGCAGACGAAGCAGCAGCAGCAGCAGCAGCAGCAGCAGCAGCAGACGAAGCAGTGCCAGCTGCAACGTCAACAGCACCAGCTCCAGCAACATCACCGGTGGCAGGACGAGTGGCAGAGGCTGCAGTGATGCACACGGGTCCTGTGCTGTGTGCTCGGTGCGGGGGTAGAGTGGAGGCATCAGGAGGCATTCCCGTTTCACCTTCTTCCCTCCGCTCCCTCGCCTCTCCCTCCTCCCGACGACCTCCCGTATCGCCCAGGAGAACCCCTTCTGCTTCCGCCGCCGCTGCTGCTGCTGCTGATGCTGCCAGTGCCGCTGCTGCCATTGCTGCTTCTATTGACATCCGTGCTGATCATGCAAGAAGGCCTGTGCAAGGCGAAGGAGAGGGAGAGGAGGGAGACGAGGGAATGGAGGAGGTGAAAGAGGTGGCGATGGAGGGGGATAGGGAGAAGGAGTGTGTTGTTGTGGGGGTGGAGGGCGGCGCAGACAGGACGGCACTTGCCAACCATTTCTTGCCGCCTATTCTGGAAAGATCTGCACAAAGCGAGGCGGATCTAGTGGAGGCAGAAGAGAGGGCAGGGAACAGAGGAAACGACGGTGATGGGAACGAGGAGCAGGAGGATCAAGGTCAGAGGAAGCAGCAGCAGGCTCAGGAGAAGGGGCAGGAGCAGGTGCAGGGAGGAAAGGGTGAGGGGCAAGGGGAAGCGGCAGCAGCAGCGGGAGGTGAGGAGCACAAGGAACGGAAACCGCGACCTGTTTCGCCACTATCAGCTGGTGCCAGTGCCATCCGTGATCGGCTCACTCTAGACGTGGGCGCCGGCAGCACCACCAGTGGTGCTGCTGCTGCTGCCACTGCAGGGGCAGCAGCAGGGGCAGCACCTGGGGCAGCAGCAGCAGCAGGAGCTGGAGCAGGAGCAGCAGCAAGTGTAGGCCCAGGCGTAGGCGCTCCTCTGCCTCCCAGCGACGGCAGCAGGCGCCCCATGCGCCCGCGTGCCGCCTCCTCTTCAGGCTCAAACTGGCAGGTCCCCTCAGAGGACGGTGACTTAGACCACGAGGGCGGGGCAGCAGCAGCCGAGCAGGACAGAGGGCCCCTGAGTGCTGACCGCGAACCTCTGAGTTCAGAAAGGCCCAGGAGAATGTCGGCTGGCGCGGGAGGGGGTGGAGCGGGAGGGAAGGAGTTTGGGCGGTACGGGAGTAGCTCGTTCCGAGGCTCGCCAGCGAGGGAGTTTGAAGGGGGAGCGCGGGTGGGGCGAGGGGAGGAGGGGTCGTGGAGTGGGAGGAAGCTGGGTGGAGTGGGGTCGAGATCGGCTAGGAGTGTGGCAAGTGAGGCGTCGCCGCGGGGAGGGGTGGGGATGGGGATGGGGACTCCGCCCATGCCTGGGGGGAGTGGGGCGGGGACGCCGCGGGGGAAGAGTTTGACGTTTTCGGCGAGCAACTTTGATAAGATTCTTGCGAGCATGCAGCGCGAAGTGGAGATTGCACAGAAGGTGAGGGTGGGATGGGGTGACTTTTGAGTCGACTCTAAAGTCACCTAGATTGCACAGAAGGTGAGGGTGGGATAGTAGCATGGGTGAATAGGAGAACAGCTGGCTGCGGGCAGCATACAAGGGGGCAGTGCACAAGGCAGAGGTGGCAGGAATGGCACGCACTGGCAGCAGTGGCAGGAGCTATATGCCTCTCTTTGTTCTTTGTTCTCACCCTTCCGCTCCAGATGCGAGAGGAGAACAACTGGCTGCGTGCAGCATACAAGGGCGCAGTGCACAAGGCAGAGGTGGCAGCGGCACTGGCAGCACTGGCAGGAGCTAAATGCCTCTCTCTTTTCTTACCCCCCCTTCACGCCAGATGCGCGAGGAGAACAACTGGCTGCGGGCGGCATACAAAGAGGCGGTGCACAAGGCAGAGGTGGCAGCGGCACTGGCGGCACATGCGGGCCCATGTCATCCCTGTGACCTTTACTCTGCTCCCCACCTCCCTCATCAGATGCGCGAGGAGAACAACTGGCTGCGGGCAGCGTACAAAGAGGCAGTGCACAAGGCAGAGGTGGCAGCAGCACTGGCGGGGGCGGAGAGGGCGAGAGCAGAGGAGGCGGAGAGGAATGTGGCAGCGAGGGAGGAGGAGATGCGGGAGGCCCTGGCACGATGCCATGAGCTGCAGGAGAAGCTGCTCGGGTGAGTGCGGGCAGGTGGTAGGGTGATTGGGGACGGTGGGGTGGGGTATATGGGTTGGTTGTCGAGTGCTGGTGTGGTGGTTGGGTAAATCAAAAGTGGGACGGAGGAGACACATGAGGCATTAGCACGATGCCATGATCTTCCGGAGAAGCTGCTTGGGTGGTTGGGTAGGTGAGGGTGGTGAGGTTCATGAGCAAGGTGAAATCACTTTTGAGAAATTTCAAAAGGTTGGGTGCATCCTATTGCATGAGGGTGGTTGGTTGAGTGAGGATGGGTGGTTGGGTGTGTGAGGATGGGTGGTTGGTTGAGTGAGGATGGGTGGTTGGGTGTGTGAGGATGGGTGGTTGGTTGAGTGAGGATGGGTGGTTGGTTGAGTGAGGATGGGTGGTTGGGTGTGTGAGGCTTCTTTGGATGTTTATTTTCTAGCTGCAAGTACCTTGGACATCCATGTGCTCTCCTGAATGCTTCCGCTCACCACGCTGTTTTCCTTACTCCTTCCCTGATGCGCCCGCACACACAAACACGCACCTCCTTACTCCCCCTCGTATCCTCCCCACTCTCTTTTTTCACCGCAGGAAATCGCGCGAGGTGCGCACGTTGAGTCAGAGGTTGATCGCCTTCCAGGCCAGCATGGCCAACGCCAATCCCGCCATGCCAATCGACAAGCAGCAGGTGAGCTGATTTTTGAGGCGCCTCAAAAATCCTCTCACGCAGCGCACTCTGCAGATTTTCCTGTCGCCTAATATTTCAGCGAGGAACAAGCTCCGTTTGAGGTGCAGATTCTCCCCTTCCTCCCTTCTCCCTCCCTCATCCTCCACCCCCTCCCCTGCACTTTTCTCCTCGTCCTCCCCCTCCTCTCCTATTCTTGTCCTTCTTGTTCGTCTCTCTTCCTCCACTTTCATATCCCTCCCCCTTCTTTTGTATCTCTCTCCCCTCTCACTCTTCTTCGCTCCTCCTGCCATCCATCCCTGCATCTGCCCTCTCGCATCTCAGAGTGTCCTGTCCCGCCACTCTGTCCCTCCAATCAGAGTGGCCCTGTCTCTTGCATCAAGCTTGAACGAGTTGGCACTCCCTCCCACCCACTCTTTATCTCCGCCTCATAGGCTCAACCTGTGGCGGCCTGGCAGAAAATACCAACTCGTTCCCGCCTCTCTCTCGCCTTTACTTTCCATCTTCTTGTCCCCCACCCTCCCACCTACCCCCTTCATCAGGAGGTGCTACTGAACGAGATAGCAGTGAGCAAGGCCAGCCGGTGGCAGCATGTGTGGTGTTCCGGTCGCTGCTGCACTGGTGCACGTTCCAGGCCGAGAAGACCAACGCAAACCTCTCTTTACCGCCACACCCTCCCCCCCTCCCTCCGTCCCTCCTGTTTCCTCCCCTGTCCCCTCCCTCCCTCCCCCCCCCCCTTTCTTTTCTATCAGGAGGTGCTACTGAACGAGATAGCCATCAGCCGCTTCCCCTTCGGTCCACAAGGCCAGCCCGTGGCAGCATGTGTGGTGTACCGGTCGCTGCTGCACTGGCGTGTGTTCCAGGCCGAGAAGACCAACGTGAATCCCTTCTTTCTACCCCATCTCCCCCTCCTTTCCCCCACCCCCCAGTAGGTTCTCTTGAACGAGATAGCCGTCAGTCGCTTCCCCTTCGGCCCTCAAGGCCAGCCGGTGGCAGCATGTGTGGTGTACCGGTCGCTGCTGCACTGGCGTGTGTTCCAGGCCGAGAAGACCAACGTGAATCCCTTCTTTCTACCCCATCTCCCCCTCCTTTCCCCCACCCCCCAAGAGGTTCTCTTGAACGAGATAGCCGTCAGTCGCTTCCCCTTCGGCCCTCAAGGCCAGCCGGTGGCAGCATGTGTGGTGTACCGGTCGCTGCTGCACTGGCGTGTGTTCCAGGCGGAGAAGACCAACCCGTTCCTTCCTTTTTCCCCACTCTCTCCCCTCCCTTTCTCCTCTGTTCCTCCCCCTCTCTCCTACCCCCTTGTGTCCCTTCCCGCACTCCCTCCTATACCCTCCCCTCCCCTCCCCTGCCCCTTCTCCCTCACCCCCACCTACCCCCTTCATCAGGAGGTGCTACTGAACGAGATAGCAGTGAGCCGCTTCCCCTTCGGTCCACAAGGCCAGCCGGTGGCAGCATGTGTGGTGTACCGGTCGCTGCTGCACTGGCGTGTGTTCCAGGCGGAGAAGACCAACGCGTTTGACCGCATCATCGAGACCTTCCAGATGGTCTCGCGCTCCGATGACATGAGCACGCTCAGCTACTGGCTCAGCAACCACGTGGTGCTGCTGTACCTCGTGCAGGTGGGTGCTGGGGGTGTTGGGGGGGGTTCGGGGGAGGTAGTGGTGTGGTGGGATCTGGGATGAGATGTTATGATGGTGTTTCGCTCCGATGACATGAGCACCTTGAGCTATTGGCTCAGCAACCACGTGGTGCTGCTGTACCTCCTGCAGGTGGGTGCTGGGGAAGGTGAGGCATGCAGGTTAGGTAGTAGTAGGTACCACGGGAGGGTGGAGTATGAATTAGATAACGTATGTACCTACTACATGGGGGTACACATGATACATGTGAGAGTGTTCCCCCTGTAACCCCCCTGTGCAGGATTCCATCCCTCATTCTCTCCCCCCTCCCCCCACCTTCCCCAAGTTCCTGCCCTGTTTCCGTTTTCCGTTTTCAATATCCCCTCCTTTTCATTTCTCCTTCGCCCTCTCCCCTCTCTCTCCCCTCCCCATCTCCCCAGGTGGTGTACAAAGCGCCAGCAGAGAAGCCCAAGTTGTTCCCCCTGTCCCTAAACCCTAAACTCTAAACCTACAGCTGAACCCCTCCCTCCTCCTCCCCTCCCTCGCCCTTCCCACCCACCTCCCCCCCCCCCAACCCCCCCTTTTTCCCCCCCTTCCTACTTCTCCCCCCGCCCCCCTTCCCCCAGGTGGTGTACAAGGCGCCAGCAGAAAAGCCCAAGCTGGAGCGCGTCACCACGTTTGGCTTCTTTGGCGCTCGTCCCCCCACTCCGGTGAGATGCAATGCAGTGCTGTGGGGTGGGGTGGGGTAAGATGCTGTGTTGTTGCTTTATTTGTGGTCCTATCTGGTTTGAAGCATGGTGAAATTGGTTGTATTGTGATGCGGTTATTGCTCTTCCATTCTTTCCCTGCCTCGACCCCTTGTTTTGAGACGTCTCAAAGTTGCTCTTCCCACATTATCACAATATCACAATCACATTATCACATTATTTCATTATCACATCCAACTTGGGTTTCAACACAGCAGCTCAGCAACAGTGATCCTGAGAGCCACAACAGTGTACACCGTTCTCAACCTCTTTCCTATCCGTACCTTTCTTCCCATCACCCCCAACCCCGCTCGAGCCGCGACCCAGCACGACGATGCAGCAGGTGGACCTGATGCTCTTCAAGCAACACAAGGAGGTTCAATGCGAAGCGTGTCATGTGCTAACTCTTCCCCTTCCCTCCACTCCCTGTCACCTCCCCCTCCAGCCGAGCCCCAGTGCTTCGATGCAGAAGGTGCACCTGATGCTCGTCAAGCAGCACATGAGCTACACTGTTCTCTCAACCTCTTTCCCTTTCCTTCATTCCTCCCTCTCACTTTCTACCTGTCACCCTCCAGCTAGACATGGGCAACGAGGCGAGTAAAAAACTCGCCTCGTTTTTGTTACTCGTTTTTTACGAGTAACGAGTAGGCCAAATCACGATTTTTACTCGTCCGAGGCGAGGCGAGTAATACTCGCGAGTAGAAAAATACTCGTATTTTGCTCGTATTTTTAACGAGTAATTTTGTACTCGCGAGTACTTTTTTACTCGCGAGTACATAAACTACTCGCGTCAGGACTTCAGAGTCAGCATAGGATTCTGGGCGCGTAAGTACAAACGTGAGTAATAAGCGGCGTTGGAGGACGCCAGAGGCCAAAATAAAATATGAGCGCGTGAGATGGCGGTTTGCAATTTCGACGCGATACCCAGATTGCCAACAAATTTGCCTGAAGTTCCCATCCAATTTGCCGCAGCTTACCGCTCTTCACCGTTTAGAATTTACAAAACCCAAACCCCCCCTTCACTGTTTAGGATCGTCGTTAAATTCGATCCAACCCTAGCACCAGCCTTCAGTCCACCTTCGCGCGCAGGTCCCCCCGTGACTCTACTCTAGCACTTTATTCTTAAAAGCGAGGCGAGTATTACTTGCCTCACTGCGAGTACTTTTTTACTCGTAGCGAGTAAAAAAGTACTCGCCTGTTTGGGCGATTAACGAGTAGGGAAATTGGCAATTTTACTCGGGCGAGTAATACTCGCCTCGCCTCGTTTTGAAAACGAGTAGACCCAAATCGAGGCGAGTATTACTCGCCTCGGTGTTTGTCCATGTCTCCAGCTGCTACCCAGCGCAACGATGCAGCAGGTGGATCTGATGCTCTTCAAGCGGCAGCAGATTGGAGAGGGAGAGAAGCCACACAGCTGATTGCATGACCATCTGTCCTTTCCCTTCAATCCCCCCCTCTCACTCCCCACCTGAATCCAGCCGCATCCCAGTGCAGCAATGCAGCAGGTGGATTTTATGCTGTTCAAGCAGCAGCTGGCGGTCGGCATCGAGTGGCAGCATGTGCCACTCTTGTAACCTTTACGAGGCAGCATGAAAGGCTTCTCATTCCCTAACCGTGTTCCCTTCCCTTCATTCCTCCCTTTCAAACCCCAGCCTCGTCCCAGTGCGACGATGCAGCAGGTGGATCTGATGCTGTTCAAGCAGCAGCTGGCGACCGGCATCGAGCGGCTGTATGTGACCATCCGCGACAGCGCCAAGACGGAGCTCGCCGTCCACTTCAACCCACAGGTGCAGTGCGGTGGGGAGTGGTCTTGAGGGATAAGGAGTGGTTTTGGGGGTTGGAGAGTGGTCCTGGGGATTGGGGAGTGGTTCTGGAGGTTGGGAAATGGTTCTGTGGGTGGGGGGTGGTCACGTTCTGATGCCTCTATCCCTCTCTTACCCCTCCCCCCATCGCTCCCTTCCGTATCCCCTCTCTCCCCTCCCTCCCCTCTCTCCGCTCTCTTTCCTCTCTCCCTCTCTCCCCTCTCTCCCCACTCTCATATCTTCCCTCTCTCCCTTCTCTCTCCTCTCCCCTCTCTCTCCCCTCTCTCAACTGTCTTCCCTTTCCTTGTGCAACCAATCTCTGCCTCTCGTGATGACTCCAGGCACGAGGAGCAGAGGTGGAAGCAGGCGAGGGAGCAGAAGCTGGGGAGAACGGGGGGAAAGGGGCGGGCATCCCCCCTGCAGGGGCGAGGGGGAGGGGCCGGGGAGGGCGGGCACTGCAGCGCAACGCGGCGACAGCGGTGCGGAAACACATCATGTCGTCGTGGACCAACGTGGTGATCACGCTGCGCCACATCATCGGGAACCTCGTGGCCAATCACGTGCCAGCAGCGCTGATGGACGCTCTGATTCGCCAGCTGCTGTTCTTTGTCAACATGAAGATATTTAACAGGTGGGTGGGTGAGTGAGTGGGTGAGTGAGTGAGTGGGTGAGTGAGTGCGTGGGTGGGTGAGTGAGTTAGTGAGTGAGTGAGTGAGTGAAGGAGTAGAAAAACGCGACCGTGAGCATTTTTCTTCCGTTGAGTGAGTGAGTTACGTTAATGCGAACTTAGTCATCTTACTGTGTGCATCTCATCACCTCAGACCATGCAGTGTTCACATGCTCATGCTCATGCTCATGCTCATGCTCATGCTTGTCCTCATGCTCATGCTCATGCTCGTCCTCATGCTCACGCTCAATGGATGCTAGTTCTGAGGCGCCTCAAAACTAGACTTGTCGCATCAGATCATGCAATGTTAAACTGCATGATCACACTCAATGGATGCAACCCAAACCAACCCATCAAAACGCCCTACTTGCGTTTCCCTATCGCCGCACCCGAGGGTTTTGAGGCGCCTCAAAACCCGGCCGGGTTGGGGTCATCCGTTTTGAGGCGCCTCAAAACCCGGCCAGGTTGGGGTCATCCGTTTTGAGGCGCCTCAAAAGTCGCCTTACTTGCGTTTCCCTATCACCCCACCCCAGGCAGATAATTGGTCCCAGTGGTGTCCCTGCACCCACAGCAACGCTTTTGAGGTGCCTCAAAAGGTGGTCTCTGCGCACGTACAGCAATGGCGAGATGATGGAGGACGGGCTGAGCCGCCTGGAGCAGACCAGTCGGTGCAGCTGAGGAAGGAAGGTGCTCGTTGCTTGCTAGCTTACCCAACCCTAAGGCTCCTTTTCTCTCTCCATTCCCTGTCCTCCTCCCATTCCTATCAGCCTCATGGTGCGAGCGCAGTGGTGCCCGTGCACGTACAGCAATGGCGAGATGATGGAGGAGGGGCTGAGCCGTCTGGAGCAGTGGGTGCATGACGTGGAGGTGCAACTGAGGGAGGTGCTGGGTGGGGAGAGGGAACCCTTGAGGAAGGAGCTACGGCACCTGCAGCAGACGATTCTCTTCCTGGTGAGTGTCAAGTGGATGGTTGCGTGACAAACCAATATGCCTGTTCGTCCTGGTAAGCAGCACAGCAGCAGTGGGTGCATGACGTGGAGGTGCAACTGAGGGAGGTGCTGGGGGGGAAGAGGGAACCCCTAAGGAAGGAGCTACGGCACCTGCAGCAGACGATTCTCTTCCTGGTGAGTGTCAAGTGGATGGTTGCGTGACAAACCAATATGCCTGTTCGTCCTGGTAAGCAGCACAGCAGCAGTGGGTGCATGACGTGGAGGTGCAACTGAGGGAGGTGCTGGGTGGGGAGAGGGAACCCTTGAGGAAGGAGCTACGGCACCTGCAGCAGACCATTCTCTTCCTGGTGAGCACCTGCCTGTTCTGTTTCTTTTGGGTGTCAAATGTCTGGTGCTGTGGCAAGCCAAAGTGTCTGATTGTCCTGGTAAGCATCGCAGCAGCAGTGGGTGCATAACGTGGAGGTGCAGTTGAGAGAGGTGCTGGGAGGGGAATGAGAACCCCAGAAGGAGCTGAGGCACCTGCAGCAAACCATTCTGTTTTTTGTAAGTGGCAAGGACTTTTCTATTTGAGAAGTCACACCATAGCAGCAGTACGCCTGGAGCAGTGGGTGCATGACGTGGAGGTGCAGGTGGGGGGGTTGTTAAGGGGGGGAAGAGAACCCTTGAAGAAGGAGCTGCGGAATCTGCAGCAGAAGATTCCGTTCCTTGTAAGTATCAAGGCAAGGCGAACTCTGGAGGAATTGCGCATGCTGTGTCTAGAGCCGAGCATGAACCAGCTCGTGCACATGTGCATCTGGTACGAGGATTCGAGGACGACAAGTCATGAATGATAGTTCAACTCATCCATTTCCCTCTGTCCCTCTCTTTCCCACCCAACAGACCCTGGACCACAAGCCACGGAGAACTCTTGAGGAATTACGCATGCTGTGCCCCGACCTGAGCATGAACCAGCTGGTGCACATGTGCATCTGGTACGAGGACGACAAGTACGGCACCAAGAGGAGCGCACACAGCTCAGCTCACCAGTGTCTCTGTATTCATCTGACCTCTTCCCTCCCACAAACGAACTGACCCTGGACCACAAGCCAAGGAGGACTCTGGAGGAACTAAGAATGCTATGCCCAGACCTGAGCATGAACCAGCTGGTGCACATGTGCATCTGCTATGAGGACGACAAGTAGTGAATGATCGTTCAACCCAACCATTTCCCTCTGTCCATGCCTTTTCCACCCAACAGAGCCTCGACCACAAGCCACGAAGAACCCTTGAGGAATTACGGATGCTGTGCCCAGAACTGAGCATGAACCAGCTGGTGTACATGTGCATCTGGTACGAGGATTGCAAGTACTGAATCTTCAACTCAAACGTTTCCCCCTGTCCCTCTCTTTCCCACCCACCAGACCCTGGACCACAAGCCACGTAGGACACTGGAGGAATTACGCATGCTGTGTCCCGATTTGAGCATGAACCAGCTGGTGCACATGTGCATCTGGTACGAGGACGACAAGTACGGCACCAAGGGCGTGGATCCGAGTGTGATCGAGCAGATGTGGAGCGAGATGGTCGACGACAGCCCCATGCTGCTGCGCGACGGTGAAGGGTGAGTGTGTTGGTGAAGGGTGAGTGTGTTGGTGAAGGGTGAGTGTGTTGGTGAAGGGTGAGTGTGTTGGTGAAGGGTGAGTGTGTTGGTGAAGGAAGGGTGAGTACAAGGGCAGGAACTGGTGAGTAGGGGGTTGATGATGGGATGATACACGAGCATGCAAGGGTCCATGTGATATTCCTATGTTCCCTCAACTACTTGACCTTATTTTCACCTTCCCCTCCTGCTTCCCCTCCCCTCCCCCCCCACATCCTATCCCCTCCCTCTCACCGCAGCATCCCCTTCACAACGGACGAGATCGTACACAGCCTACCCGAGATAAACCTGGACGAGGTAGAGCCTCCCCCCGATCTCCAAGACGACCCCACCTTCCACTTCCTCCTCCCCCTCAGCTCCATCCCCTCCGTCCCCTCAACCCCCACTGCCGCCTCGCACACTCCCCGCAACGCCTCCCCGCACCTCCCTCCCCCTTCTGTACCGTCATCCATCCCCCGATCGGCATCTCTCTCTCACGCACACTCTCGGCCCGGCACCGCTCCTGCGCCCCACCCCATGGGGGGTACCCCTAGGGGGACTGGGGTGTCGTCTGTTACAAGTACGCCTCGTGTGCCGTCGAGCCCTTGGGATTACTTCCGGGGGAGAGGGGTGTGGAAGAGTGATGATGCGTGATGATGAGTGGGGCGTGAGAGAGAGGAATGAGGAAGGAGAGGCAGGAGGAAGAGGTATGAAGGAGGCATGGGCAGGGATGGTCATGAGGGGGAAATGGACAGGAGGTAAAAAAACGTATATGATGTGCCAAAGGCGGGCGGGCATTCAGAATGTGTGGGTGATGGATGCAGGAATATAATGCTTGGTGTTGCTCCTGGGTTAGACTGTGAGGTGTTTCTTGTAAGACTTGCATGTGCTGGTGGTGGTGCTATGAACTATTCCTCCTACCGTATTTCTCTTGCAAGGTATATTGCGTGTGCGGTTGTTCTGCACCAGCTCTAGTCTAGTTTTCTCGAGGTATGTTGTCTGCACAGCGTGGTTGTTTACGCGCCTTGTGCAGTTGTGGGAGTGAGGAATCAGGATGTAAGGTAGGCCTGCTTTAGTCTAACTTCAGGCATTTAGAACTTACATATTTGGATGTACTTCAACATTTAGATGTATGATATAGTCTGTATAAATACATTAGTGTGAGCAAAGGTTCCCTAGAGAAACTTTTGTGCCTGGGGACGTGTTTATAAGGTGGCTCAATCAGTCCTGATTGCATAACAAAATATGATATTCATCCATCCACCGCCGCACCCAGCATGTCACGCTGATTTGCAGCGCAGGTGTATTTACACATGCCCATAATTCCCATGGTTACAGCCTGAAATCGGGTTACGAAATCTCAATACGAATACCAAATGCACTTGTGTGCACGCCCTGAGAATACACCAGCCATACCTTTTCCCGCGTCTGTGATGACAAACGTCTGACCCTGCATCCCTAACTGAAATACTCTGCACGAATTAGGGTTTCACGCTACGCACTCGCTTTCTGAAAGCGTGTTACAAGGTTCGAAGCCTTCGAGAAGGGTTTTCTCTGGCGTAATTCTCCTATTTGACATTCTGACGACGCCATGGCGGACGTGGGGGGGTATATGCCGCCGCAGGAACCAGTAACTTACATGTGTGGAGGTAGGGTTTTGAGTCGAACTACAATATCCATCGCCTAGTCGCTCCCTCTTATTCGTTCTTGACCCCTTCTCTTCTTCGCGCGCCTTCCTTTCTGCAGTGTTTTTTTAGACTATTTTCACGCACTCATGTTTTGCGTCCATTGGATTCACACTTGCCAGAATGCGGTGCTGACAACACCCTAAAGCCCGGAGACGTTATTCAATGTCGAGAGTGCGGCTACCGAATACTCTACAAAAAGAGAACTCGACGCAGTAAGTCGTTTTGTCTCGCTTTAAAAAACTAAGGGTGACTTTGAGCTGATTTTAAAAAATATACCATCACAAGAAGAGAACGAGACGCACTAAGTCCTGTCACGATGTTCGTGTGTCCTGTCGTGTGTGGACAAATTTGCTTGCTTCGAAAGTTTCAACATTGGTTTGTGAATGGTTAAACCCGAAACTATAAACCTTTTTGAACCGTCTCACCATGCCATCGCCTCGTCTTAGCCCATGCCACCATCCGCCATGCCACCATCACACGCTCCGATTATCACACACAGTAGGCGACCTGCTCACCATGCCACCATCTCACCATGCTACCATCTCACCATGCTACCATCTCACCATGCTACCATCACACCATGCTACCATCTCACCATGCTACCATCTCACCATGCTACCATCTCACCATGCTACCATCCCACCATGCTACCATCTCACCATGCTACCATCTCACCATGCTACCATCTCACCATGCTACCATGCCACCATGCCACCATCTCACCATGCTACCACCTCACCATGCTACCACATCACCGTGCTACCATCTCACCATGCTACCATCCCACCATGCTACCATCTCACCATGCTAACATCTCACCATGCTACCATCTCACCATGCTACCATCTCACCATGCTACCATCTCACCATGCTACCATCACACCATGCTACCATCTCACCATGCTACCATCTCACCATGCTACCATCTCACCATGCTACCATCCCACCATGCTACCATCTCACCATGCTACCATCTCACCATGCTACCATCTCACCATGCTACCATGCCACCATGCCACCATCTCACCATGCTACCACCTCACCATGCTACCACATCACCGTGCTACCATCTCACCATGCTACCATCCCACCATGCTACCATCTCACCATGCTAACATCTCACCATGCTACCATCTCACCATGCTACCATCTCACCATGCTACCATCTCACCATGCTACCATGTCACCATGCTACCATCTCACAATGTTACCATCTCACCATGCTATCATCTCACGATGCTATCATCTCACGATGCTACCACCTCACCATGCTACCATCTCACCATGCTACCATCTCACCATGCTACCATCTCACCATGCTACCATCTCACCATGCTACCATCTCAACGTGCTACCATCTCACCGTGCTACCATCTCACCGTGCTACCATCTCACCATGCTACCATCCCACCACGCTACCATCTCACCATGCTACCATCTCACCATGCTACCATGTCACCATGCTAGCATGTCACCCTGCTGCCATGTCACCGTGTTACCATCTCACCATGCTACCATCTCACGATGCTACCACCTCACCATGCTACCATCTCACCATGCCACCATCTCACCATGCTACCATCTCACCATGCTACCATCTCACCATGTTACCATCTCACCATGCTACCATCTCACCATGCTACCATCTCACCATGCTACCATCTCACCATGCTACCACCTCACCATGCTACCACCTCACCATGGTACCATCTCACCATGGTACCATCTCACCATGCTACCATCTCACCATGCTACTATCTCACCATGCTACCATCTCACCATGCTACCATCCCACCATGCCACCATCTCACCATGCTACCATCTCACCACCATGCTACCATCTCACCATGCTACCATCTCACCATGCTACCATCTCAACGTGCTACCATCTCACCGTGCTACCATCTCACCGTGCTACCATCTCACCGTGCTACCATCTCACCATGCTACCATCCCACCACGCTACCATCTCACCATGCTACCATCCCACCACCACGCTACCACCTCACCATGCTACCATCTCACCATGCTACCATCTCACCATGCTACCATCGCACCCGCTACCATCGCACCATGCTGCCATCGCACCATGCTGCCATCGCACCACGCTACCATCGCACCCGCTACCATCGTACCATGCTACCATCTCGCCGTGCTACCATCCCACCATGCCACCATCTTATCATGCCGCCATCATGCCACCATCTCATCATGCTGCCGTCATGCCAACATCTCAAACTGCTCGTTTCCACCCTGCTTGCTCCATCCAATCTCACTGGTAACCCTGTATTTGTATCCCACCTTGCGTTTGTTTCTCGCCCTCCCACCCTCTGTAAACAGTTGTGCAATTTGAGGCTAGGTGACCCCTCGTGTTGCGTCCTATCGTGTCCCCTTCAGCTCGTGAGTGCACTCTGGCACTCTGCTTTTCTGCTGGTCTAGGGTTTATCTTAGCTGCTGGTGCCAGCAGAGGTCCCATTTCTGTGTACATGTGAAATAGTCGATCAGTATGCTGTGTGTGTGCAATTCATGAAGCTGAATTCTAAAATGAGATCCAATTACAGTGGCTACAGCCACCTTTGTTGCTGCAGAAGCGCATGTCTAGGGCACTTTGCTCTGCTGCAAAACCTGTTGCAGAATTGAGGCTACCATACCAAAGAGCCCAGCTTGCCATGTTCTTCGCTGGAACATAATTCCAAGTTCATCGATTCTGAAGCAATGAACAGTTAATCAGTTGCCTGAACTTGTTTCAATCATATTGTGAGCTTTTTCCATTTCAAGCACGGCATCGCTTGCTTGCAGTTCACAACGGAGCTGTACTCTCCATTTGAAATGACTACCTACCACTGCTTTACACTCAAGTGAAGTACACAAAATGATAATCGTTCGAAGGATCCCCCCAAAATCCCAATTCTCATACCCACCTTCCCCACTGTGAATGGACCCTGCGCGAAATAAACTGCAAAATACGACTCACCCCAGGAGTGTGCCACCTGGACCTTGACGGCATCTGGTTCACCGTATACCGAGTGCTCGGTCTTGATCACCATCACATTGTAACCCTCCTTCACGAAAACATTCACCAGCATCTGCGTCACCTCGGAGTCCTCCCAGCCTTCGACTACGCCCAGGTTCCCTGGAGCCACTGTATCCACCGTCACCTCGTCCTAGCTCATCAACTTCCGCTCCACCCTGCGCGGAGATCCCAAGGCAGATCCGGCGGTGACGGCGGTTGTTGCGGTGGAGGATGAAGTCTGCAGCATGGGCCGTGCTGCGCTGGCGCTGGTGACGGCGAGGAACACGAGGAGGGAGAGAGGCAGCAACTTGCGCGCTGCGCGCGGCCACGAGCGCGCGGCCACGAGTTACTTGCCATTGTCGAGATGCTTTGGGATCGTCGCAGTCAGTGCCGCACGAATGAAAGCAAGCAAGTTGATAGTGCACCTATGGAACAAGCTGTTGAAAGGAAAGCTGGTTGAAATTGCAACAACGGAAAAAGCAGTTGTGGAAGAGCTGATGACGAAAGACACCTCGAACGTCTGATTTATAAACATTCCTTCTTAATCCTATAGCTGAGGGCAGCTCATTATCTGCTCGTGCCGCCATAGCCAGAAGACTGTGTTTCAAAGCAGTCATGAAGCAAACGTGAATATCTCAGCGGAAACGGGTCGTCAAGCCTGACGACCTGTTGACGACTTGACGACATGCTGCCCCGGGCAGAAAAAACTAAAACCCTGTCGGATGGCATGCCATCCGAGGGAGGCATCAACCCTAAATCCATGCCTCCCTGTGTTTAGGGTTGATGCCTCCCTGACCGGATGCATGCCCGAATGGGTTTTATTTTTTTTTCCCGCGGGCAGCGAGCTCCCCCGGGCGGACTCGCTTGTCCGCTGAGATATATTCGGCGGTTGTTACCGTTCTAGCAGGTATGGAAGGCCGAGAGTAAAAGGCACGGTAGATCTCGGGGGAAAATGGTTCGACCTGAAGTGGGAAGTGAGGGAAGATGACGGTACTGTAATGAGGGCGGGGTCAGAAGGAAATGTAAACTGCAACCCGTGGGGTTTGACGCGATCTTCGTAACCAGACGAAGTTCGCAAGTCCATCGCTGCGGCTGCAATTCACGAAATGTGCAAGAAAAGCGAAACAGTGGCTGTGGGATCTGTCTAGCTATACGCGAAACGAGACACCTCGCTACAGACTAAGTAGAGAACATTTTGCTCACCAAATTCTGATTCTTTCTACGCAATCCATATCTACAACATCAATCAAACAAACTCTCCACCTGCAAATGACAGGTCTGCCTCCAGGGCCTCTACTACATGGGGGAATGCGGTAATCTCGTGCCGTAATTTATGAGCCAAAGAAATCAATGTAGGGACGATGTCACAGAATCTGAAAACCCCGACCATCGGCTTCACTTGATGGTGGGATCAAGCACCCCCAGGTAGATGCGCTTGTCAGAGGAGCAGGAGCCAATGATGGGATGCGAGGGATGGAATGGACACCGCCTTGTTCACCGTCCCGTTCTGAGACACCTCAAAAAAGATAATAAAAATCGGTGCAGGTGGGTGGCCTCTACTTGATGGTGGGATCGAGCTCCCCCAGGTAGATGCGTTTATCAGAGGAGCAGGAGCCTATGATGGGCTGCGAGGGATGGAACACCACCTCGTTCACCGACCCGTTGTGGCCAGGCAGCTGCCATGCACGTGTGAGAGATGTGATGGGAGGAAGATGGGGATGGAGATGAGGCGCCTCAAAACTAGCACAGTAACCCCCATACCATGCAGCCGGAATGTACTTTGTACAAAGGGCCATCCGTCATAGCATAACCCTGTCGCCTCCATGACTAACCCCATACCTTGTGAGGAGCTGACAAAATATACCTTGTATCAAACTTGGCAAATGGTGGTGTCTCAGACAAACACGATGCAGTCAAGATGAACCTCGAATCAAAAGGTCAGTATATTACATGATAAACCAAACAACCCCCATACCTTGTAGAGGATGCGTGCGGCGCATGGTAGTGTCCCACACATATACCATGCGGCCGGCGTGTACCTTGTGCTGATAAAGCCTCGCCTAGCCCTTTCAACATCCACCCATCCCTGTACCCTGTATTATCAATCACCCCCTGTACCTTGTACAGGATGCGCCGCATTGTGGTGTCCCACACATACACCATGCAGTTGGCATGTATCTTGTTCTAAAGCCCAACCCTTTCAACACGCACCCTTCACAACACAACCTGTACCCTGCATAGTCAGCCCCTGTACCTTGTAAAGGATCCGGCGCATCGTGGTGTCCCACACATACACCATGCGGTTACCATGTTCCTCCCTGCACCTTGCGCTCACAAATAACCCCAGTACCTTATAGAGAATCCGCCGCATCGTCGTGTCCCACACATACACCATGCGGTCGGCGCTGCCAGCTGTCACGCGGGAGCCGTCCGGCGACCAATCGCATTTGAGCAGATTCTTCTCCACGCTGTGCTGGTGCCCTGTGAAGATCTTCACACACCGGTTCTGGCCAATGGGGACAAGGGGAAACGGTGGATGTGTCAGTTTGAACATGGAAAACGAGGGGCCAGTTTAGTGCATGCAGACCAATTAGGTGGAAGGGGGAGAGCTTGGAAGGGGCCTCAGACCCATTGCATTTGAGCCGGTTCTTCTCCACGCTGTGCTGGTACCCTGTGAAGATCTTCACACACCGGTTCTGGGCAACGGGGAGGGATAGTATGACGCATTTGGAGTAAAGAGGCTGAGCGGCTAGTAGTTGGAGGGGCCTCAGGCCACTCGCATTTGAGCTGTGCTGTGCCTCAGGGATCTTCTCCCCGCTGTGCTGGTGCCCACTGTGCAGGGGGGCGGGAGGGTTGGTGTGGAGAAAGGGGGAGGAGGGCGACGGGCAGAGGGCGACAGGCGGAGGGAGGGGGGCGGAAGAAGAGGGGCGGAGGGAGAGGAGCGGAGGAAGAGGAACGGGGGGAGGAGAGTGGGGGCGGAAGGCGGGGCATGGGAGGGTTCGTATGTGGAGAACGGGGAGGAGGGAAGCACAGGGGTGTTAGTATGGTGGATGCGTCGCAAAGGGGTGGAGGTGGGAATGAGGTATCCAATCTGAGAAGTGGAGGGAATGAACGGCAGAGACGGTCAAGAGGAGGGCGAGGAAAAGGAGTAAGATGCCCAAGTAAGAAGTAAGAAGTAAGAAGTAAGAAGCAAGAAGTCAGAAGTGAGAAGTGCTTGTGAATAGTATTCGCCGGAACTTCACCATGCCACTTGTTGCAGTTAGAGAGAAGCCCGCACGGCACCACTCGGGGGGTGCATAGTTTGAGAAGCGCACAGGAGCACACCTGCGAGGCGTATACTTGAAGGCCGAACTGAGAGCTCATGATGCAGAGAGCACACCAAAACGCACCTGGGGCGCATAGATCCGGAGGTCTCAGATGTATGGTGTGCATGCATGATGCATCCCATGGCATTGGTGAGCGGATAGGTGAGTGAAGTGAGAACGAACGCCATTCACAGGGTGTATGGTTGGGTACGATAGAAAAATGTTTTTTGAGATGTCTCAAAAGCCACTTGATAAAATGTATGAAACAATCTTTTATCAGGGACGCCATCGACAGCGTGTATGGTTGGGTACGATGCGCCTGTTTTTGAGTCGACTCATAAAATGTATGAAACAATCTTTTATCATGAACGCCATCTACAGCGTGTATGGTTGGGTACGATGCGCCTGTTTTTGAGTCGACTCATAAAATGTATGAAACAATCTTTTATCATGAACGCCATCTACAGCATGTATGGTTGGGTATGATGCGCCTGTTTTTGAGTCGACTCATAAAATGTATGAAACAATCTTTTATCATGAACGCCATCTACAGCGTGTATGGTTGGGTATGATGCGCCTGTTTTTGAGTCGACTCATAAAATGTATGAAACAATCTTTTATCACGAACGCCATCTACAGCGTGTATGGTTGGGTATGATGCGGAGCGGACAGCACACAACACACCTGCGGGGTGTAGGGTCGGAGGTCCCAGATGCGCAGAGGTTCAGTCCATGGCGTTGGTGAGCAGGTGGGTGGGTGAGTGGAGTGACAAAGAAAGGCACTCGTCAGGTGTATGGTTTAGATTAAATGCAAAGCATGCACAGAAGGAAGGACGTACCTGGGGCGCGTAGGGCCGAAGGTCCCAGATGCGCAGAGTGCAGTCCATGGCGCTGGTGAGCAGATAGGCGAGAAGAGAGCGGGGAGAGACAGAGCCACTCAGACCATCTTACCAGTGACTGCACAGTTGTGTGTGTCTACCCAAATCCAAATAGGACATACCTGGGGGGCGTAGGGCCGGAGGTCCCAGATGCGCAGAGTGCAGTCCATGGCGTTGGTGAGCAGATACGCCCCATCCGGGCTGACCCTCATGCCCGTGATCGTATCCGTGTGCCCCAGCAGCCTCATCACTGGCTCTGCTCCCTTGCCGCCCCCGGCCCCGGTCTCCCCACTTCCGCCCTCTGCTGAGTCCTCTCCCCCCGCCCGTGCTGCTGTTGATGTGCCGCCTGCTTTTCGAAGGTCCCAGACCTTTATTTGGTTGTCAATACCGCCCGAGTACACTTTGTCCCCGTTATAAGAGAATGCCACTGCTGTGACCTGCGGGATGGTTGAAGGGAGTGACTTTTGGTTGCGACGTGTGCAGTCTGAGCGGTTACACAGAGGCACCTCAAATCAAACACAGATGCCATGCCACGCATGCATGCAAGGAAAGAGACAAGTCACGTGCAATCACACATGCATACACGCGCCAATGCATGCATCGTAATTTATCACCCACCTGGTATTTGATTACAGCTCACCCACCCACCTGGTATTTGATTACAGCTCACCCACCCATCTGGTATTTGATTACAGCTCACCCACCCACCTGGTATTTGATTACAGCTCACCCACCCACCTGGTATTTGATTACAGCTCACCCACCCACCTGGTATTTGATTACAGCTCACCCACCCACCTGGTACTTGATTACAGCTCACCCACCCACCTGGTACTTGATTACAGCTTACCCACCCACCTGGTACTTGATTACAGCTCACCCACCCACCTGGTACTTGATTACAGCTCACCCACCCACCTGGTACTTGTCGGGGAAAGTTTGGATGCACCCTCTGACGCGCATGTCCCACAGTTTGGCCGTGCCGTCGTCGCTGCCGCTGACTATCAGCGGCGGGCCTCTGGGCGCGGGGCAGCAGCTGTTGACGAAGGAGGAATGCTCCGCCATCTTCTTTATCTGTTGCGGAGGCGGGGGAGGGGTGGGGGAAGGAAGACGAGAGAGGCAAGGAGAGGCAGAGAAAGGCAACAGCTGTTGACACACGACGAATGCTCCGCCATTTCTTTATCTGTTACCGGGAAAGGAGGAGAAAAGAGGAGAAGGGAGAGGGCGGAGAGAAGGGGCGTTGGGATAAAGGAGACACTTGTAATTGAGGAGCCTTTGGCACCGGGGAGCAGCTGTTGACAAACGACGAACGCTCCGCCATCTTCTTTCTCCATCAGTGTCAGCACCCAAAGGCCAGGGGGGGATGCTGTGATGTGAGCTGAAAGACAAGCAAAGCAAGCTACTTCAGGTTTGAGACTTCTTCATATGGGGTTCGGTTCGGGTCGCAAGAGGAAGAGGAAACAGGAGGGTGTCTGTCGCCTCTCACCTGCTTGCCAGTCTCCACATCCCATGCACGCACGCTCTCACCTGCTTCCCAGTCTCCACATCAAATGCGCGCACGGTCTGGACAGGGCTGGCAGACACGATGCTGTGGCCATCCAAGGCCCTCTGCAGCTCGAGCACTCAATCCATACAACTCACCCGTCCACCTCTCACCTGCTTCCGCATCTCCCCAACCCAATCCACACCCACAGCCACACCCACAGCCACACCCACAGCCACACCCACACCCACACCCACACAATCTCTCCCCTGCCCACACGCTCTTACTTGCTTCCCCGTTTCCACATCCCACGCCCGCACGGTCTGATCAGGGCTGGCAGACACGATGCTGTGGCCGTCTGACGTCCACTGCAGCTCGAGAATCACGTTCTTGTGGCCCTTGAGCACCATGTAGTTGTCGCACTCGCCCTCTATGCGCCACAGGACTGACGATGAAAGGGGGGATCGGGGAAATGATGGTAAGAGAGGGTATATATTCAATACAAGGGTCGATTCTCCTTCACTGCAGCTCCAGAATCACGTTCTTGTGGCCCTTGAGCACCATGTAGTTGTCGCACTCGCCCTCTATGCATGAGCCACAGGGCTGGTGAGAGACGAGGGACGGGAGAAGAGAGTTTACAGAGAAGAATTACAGTTATGTTATTTTCCTTCACTGCCGATCGACAATGACGATCTTGTGGCCCTTTAGCACCATGGAGTTGTCGCTCGCACCCGCCCTCTATGCGCCACAGGACTGCCGATAACACGGAAGAACACGCAAGTGGGGGAAAGGGGGCAACGAGGTAGTGTGTTTTCCAATGAAGGTGGTGCAGGTGAGATGCTACACACACAGTCACCACTTGCGCACTCATCACTCGTGCACTCACCATTTCATGCTTTCGTCCTGCACCCTGCTGTTCAGTAGCGCACCATCCACCTTCCTCTAAAGACCAACACAACACTGACTTGCTCACTATGCGCCTCCGCACCCCACTTAATATTATTGTTCCCAGGTCATTCGCTGTGTGTGTGTGCGCATGCACTACGTGAAGGGCATTGACATACAAGATATCTTCCAAGCAGCAGGAGCTTTCGCCCCTCCTGGGGCTGGGGGCTCGCAGGCGGGGCGAAAGCACGTGCTGCTTAGAAGATCTCTCGGATGTGAATGCCCTTCATCTAGTGCATGTCCACACACACAGAATAAATGATCCGGGAACAGTCATTTGAACTCGGGTGCGCGGTTATTTAGTGTGCCAGTCAGTGTCGATCTCTAGAGGGAGGTGGATGGTGCACTACAAAACAGCAGGACGCAGGATGAGAGCATGAAGTGGTGAAGGCACGCGTGATGAGTGCGCAAGTGATGAGTGTGTGTATAGCATGTCACATGATAATACCAGTGCACCTCCAGCATAGCGTTCTTGTGGTTCTTAAGCACCGTGAAATAGTCGCCCCCTGACACATAACTGAAAAAAGGTGGGGGGATGGTTGAAATGGGTTCAAGAGAGAGAAGGAAGGAAAACAGCTCCAGAATGCCCATTCTTGTGGCCCTTAGACTAAAGAGGAGGTGGCAAATAAGAGGGGGGTGGGGGGTCGGTGGGAAGGAAGAAACGGAGTGAAACTCACACAAAGAAGTAGTGCACTCATTCAAGTAGTAAGCTTTCACAAAATAGTACATCACACAAGACATCACACTCACAGATCTCCTTGTCTTGTGAACCCGAAGCGATTACCTCCCCATCCGGACTGAACTTCATGGTGAATACCCCCGCCTGGAGGGAAGAGTGGAGGATGGGCGCATGCGAGAACAGGCCGCATGGGGGGATGGGTTTGTAAGGGGGAAGTGTGCAAAAAAAAGGGATAGGCACGTGGGAGGAGGGGCTCAGGGTGGAATAGGCGCATTGGGGGTTGGGCGCATTGTTGGGGGATGGGCGCATCAATGGGGGATGGGCGCACTGATGGGGGATGGGCGCACTGATGGGGGATGGCCGCATTGATGGGGGATGGCCGCATTGATGGGGGATGGGCGCATTGATGGGGAATAGGCAAAACCAGGAATACGCAGATGGGGGAATGGGTGCATGGGGGAATGGGTGCATGGGGGGATGGGTGCATGGGGGGATGGGTGCATGGGGGGATGGGTGCATGGGGGGATGGGTGCATGGGGGGATGGGTGCATGGGGGGATGGGTGCATGGGGGGATGGGTGCATGGGGGGATGGGTGCATGGGGGGATGGGTGCATGGGGGGATGGGTGCATGGGGGGATGGGTGCATGGGGGGATGGGTGCATGGGGGGATGGGTGCATGGGGGGATGGGTGCATGGGGGGATGGGTGCATGGGGGGATGGGTGCATGGGGGGATGGGTGCATGGGGGGATGGGTGCATGGGGGGATGGGTGCATGGGGGGATGGGTGCATGGGGGGATGGGTGCATGGGGGGATGGGTGCATGGGGGGATGGGTGCATGGGGGGATGGGTGCATGGGGGGATGGGTGCATGGGGGGATGGGTGCATGGGGGGATGGGTGCATGGGGGGATGGGTGCATGGGGGGATGGGTGCATGGGGGGATGGGTGCATGGGGGGATGGGTGCATGGGGGGATGGGTGCATGGGGGGATGGGTGCATGGGGGGATGGGTGCATGGGGGGATGGGTGCATGGGGGGATGGGTGCATGGGGGGATGGGTGCATGGGGGGATGGGTGCATGGGGGGATGGGTGCATGGGGGGATGGGTGCATGGGGGGATGGGTGCATGGGGGGATGGGTGCATGGGGGGATGGGTGCATGGGGGGATGGGTGCATGGGGGGATGGGTGCATGGGGGGATGGGTGCATGGGGGGATGGGTGCATGGGGGGATGGGTGCATGGGGGGATGGGTGCATGGGGGGATGGGTGCATGGGGGATGGGTGCATGGGGGGATGGGTGCATGGGGGGATGGGTGCATGGGGGGATGGGTGCATGGGGGGATGGGTGCATGGGGGGATGGGTGCATGGGGGGATGGGTGCATGGGGGGATGGGTGCATGGGGGGATGGGTGCATGGGGGGATGGGTGCATGGGGGGATGGGTGCATGGGGGGATGGGTGCATGGGGGGATGGGTGCATGGGGGGATGGGTGCATGGGGGGATGGGTGCATGGGGGGATGGGTGCATGGGGGGATGGGTGCATGGGGGGATGGGTGCATGGGGGATGGGTGCATGGGGGGATGGGTGCATGGGGGATGGGTGCATGGGGGGATGGGTGCATGGGGGGATGGGTGCATGGGGGGATGGGTGCATGGGGGGATGGGTGCATGGGGGATGGGTGCATGGGGGGATGGGTGCATGGGGGGATGGGTGCATGGGGGGATGGGTGCATGGGGGGATGGGTGCATGGGGGGGATGGGTGCATGGGGGGATGGGTGCATGGGGGGATGGGTGCATGGGGGGATGGGTGCATGGGGGGATGGGTGCATGGGGGGATGGGTGCATGGGGGGATGGGTGCATGGGGGGATGGGTGCATGGGGGGATGGGTGCATGGGGGGATGGGTGCATGGGGGGATGGGTGCATGGGGGGATGGGTGCATGGGGGGATGGGTGCATGGGGGGATGGGTGCATGGGGGGATGGGTGCATGGGGGGATGGGTGCATGGGGGGATGGGTGCATGGGGGGATGGGTGCATGGGGGGATGGGTGCATGGGGGGATGGGTGCATGGGGGGATGGGTGCATGGGGGGATGGGTGCATGGGGGGATGGGTGCATGGGGGGATGGGTGCATGGGGGGATGGGTGCATGGGGGGATGGGTGCATGGGGGGATGGGTGCATGGGGGGATGGGTGCATGGGGGGATGGGTGCATGGGGGGATGGGTGCATGGGGGGATGGGTGCATGGGGGGATGGGTGCATGGGGGGATGGGTGCATGGGGGGATGGGTGCATGGGGGGATGGGTGCATGGGGGGATGGGTGCATGGGGGATGGGTGCATGGGGGGATGGGTGCATGGGGGGATGGGTGCATGGGGGGATGGGTGCATGGGGGGATGGGTGCATGGGGGGATGGGTGCATGGGGGGATGGGTGCATGGGGGGATGGGTGCATGGGGGGATGGGTGCATGGGGGGATGGGTGCATGGGGGGATGGGTGCATGGGGGGATGGGTGCATGGGGGGATGGGTGCATGGGGGGATGGGTGCATGGGGGGATGGGTGCATGGGGGGATGGGTGCATGGGGGGATGGGTGCATGGGGGGATGGGTGCATGGGGGGATGGGTGCATGGGGGGATGGGTGCATGGGGGGATGGGTGCATGGGGGGATGGGTGCATGGGGGGATGGGTGCAATGGGGGGATGGGTGCATGGGGGGATGGGTGCATGGGGGGATGGGTGCATGGGGGGATGGGTGCATGGGGGGATGGGTGCATGGGGGGATGGGTGCATGGGGGATGGGTGCATGGGGGGATGGGTGCATGGGGGGATGGGTGCATGGGGGGATGGGTGCATGGGGGGATGGGTGCATGGGGGGATGGGTGCATGGGGGGATGGGTGCATGGGGGGATGGGTGCATGGGGGGATGGGTGCATGGGGGGATGGGTGCATGGGGGGATGGGTGCATGGGGGGATGGGTGCATGGGGGGATGGGTGCATGGGGGGATGGGTGCATGGGGGGATGGGTGCATGGGGGGATGGGTGCATGGGGGGATGGGTGCATGGGGGGATGGGTGCATGGGGGGATGGGTGCATGGGGGGATGGGTGCATGGGGGGATGGGTGCATGGGGGGATGGGTGCATGGGGGGATGGGTGCATGGGGGGATGGGTGCATGGGGGGATGGGTGCATGGGGGGATGGGTGCATGGGGGGATGGGTGCATGGGGGGATGGGTGCATGGGGGGATGGGTGCATGGGGGGATGGGTGCATGGGGGGATGGGTGCATGGGGGGATGGGTGCATGGGGGGATGGGTGCATGGGGGGATGGGTGCATGGGGGATGGGTGCATGGGGGGGATGGGTGCATGGGGGGATGGGTGCATGGGGGGATGGGTGCATGGGGGGATGGGTGCATGGGGGGATGGGTGCATGGGGGGATGGGTGCATGGGGGGATGGGTGCATGGGGGATGGGTGCATGGGGGATGGGTGCATGGGGGGATGGGTGCATGGGGGGGATGGGTGCATGGGGGGATGGGTGCATGGGGGGATGGGTGCATGGGGGGATGGGTGCATGGGGGGATGGGTGCATGGGGGGATGGGTGCATGGGGGGATGGGTGCATGGGGGGATGGGTGCATGGGGGGATGGGTGCATGGGGGGATGGGTGCATGGGGGGATGGGTGCATGGGGGGATGGGTGCATGGGGGGATGGGTGCATGGGGGGGATGGGTGCATGGGGGATGGGTGCATGGGGGGATGGGTGCATGGGGGGATGGGTGCATGGGGGGATGGGTGCATGGGGGGATGGGTGCATGGGGGGATGGGTGCATGGGGGGATGGGTGCATGGGGGGATGGGTGCATGGGGGATGGGTGCATGGGGGATGGGTGCATGGGGGGATGGGTGCATGGGGGGATGGGTGCATGGGGGGATGGGTGCATGGGGGGATGGGTGCATGGGGGGATGGGTGCATGGGGGGATGGGTGCATGGGGGGATGGGTGCATGGGGGGATGGGTGCATGGGGGGATGGGTGCATGGGGGGGATGGGTGCATGGGGGGATGGGTGCATGGGGGATGGTGCATGGGGGATGGGTGCATGGGGGGATGGGTGCATGGGGGGATGGGTGCATGGGGGGATGGGTGCATGGGGGGATGGGTGCATGGGGGATGGGTGCATGGGGGGGAGGGGTGCATGGGGGGATGGTGCATGGGGGGATGGGTGCATGGGGGGATGGGTGCATGGGGGGATGGGTGCATGGGGGGATGGGTGCATGGGGGGATGGGTGCATGGGGGGATGGGTGCATGGGGGATGGGTGCATGGGGGGATGGGTGCATGGGGGGATGGGTGCATGGGGGGGATGGGTGCATGGGGGGATGGGTGCATGGGGGGATGGGTGCATGGGGGGATGGGTGCATGGGGGGATGGGTGCATGGGGGGATGGGTGCATGGGGGGATGGGTGCATGGGGGGATGGGTGCATGGGGGGATGGGTGCATGGGGGGATGGGTGCATGGGGGGATGGGTGCATGGGGGGATGGGTGCATGGGGGGATGGGTGCATGGGGGGATGGGTGCATGGGGGGATGGGTGCATGGGGGGATGGGTGCATGGGGGGATGGGTGCATGGGGGGATGGGTGCATGGGGGGATGGGTGCATGGGGGATGGGTGCATGGGGGATGGGTGCATGGGGGGATGGGTTGCATGGGGGGATGGGTGCATGGGGGGATGGGTGCATGGGGGGATGGGTGCATGGGGGGATGGGTGCATGGGGGGATGGGTGCATGGGGGGATGGGTGCATGGGGGGATGGGTGCATGGGGGGATGGGTGCATGGGGGGATGGGTGCATGGGGGATGGGTGCATGGGGGGATGGGTGCATGGGGGATGGGTGCATGGGGGATGGGTGCATGGGGGGATGGGTGCATGGGGGGATGGGTGCAATGGGGGGGATGGGTGCATGGGGGATGGGTGCATGGGGGGATGGGTGCATGGGGGGATGGGTGCATGGGGGGATGGGTGCATGGGGGGATGGGTGCATGGGGGGATGGGTGCATGGGGGGATGGTGCATGGGGATGGGTGCATGGGGGATGGCATGGGGGGATGGGTGCATGGGGGGATGGGTGCATGGGGGGATGGGTGCATGGGGG